TAGAGCAACCCTTGACAAGCAATCATTTGAAATGTGAAACACAGAACATGCTGCGAGCAACTTCAGGCCAATCATTAAATGGGAGTGAATGCATGTGAGATTGATAAACAACATTGAAAGTTTTACACATTCATTTTTTCCTGCTTAGCAACCACCACAATGGTTGTCTGTGATTACTGCCTCGTACGCTCTCATGGTTTTAGTGTCCCACACAATGAAATGTCATACAGTGATGTGGGGCAGTGCTGTAAATCTTTCGGATGCTCAACTAGAAAGGTTAGTACATCACATTACTCTTAGTTAAGACATGAATACATTCACTAACAACGCTAAGAGGTAATCGTGGTCAAGGCTACTGATACCACCACACCTCACCATCGCTTCCTTCCTTCTCGTAGATCTTTGAAAATGTGACTTGATTTGGCCAAGTGTTTCGGATAGCCAAGTGTTGAGCTGATACCGCTGACAACCATGGTTTTAATCCAGGCAACGACCCATGATAAAACTGGGTCTTCAAGATAAACAAGTTAATAGTCTCTGCCTGGTCACCATTGGCTCCACAAAAATAAAACATCGTTTAATTAGATTTGCCTTCGATTTGGCTGAATTCCAGCTATAATAATTAACAATATTAGTTTGACTGTCATGCAATCTAATTGCAGAGCATAATGACAACGTGTGAAGAATATCATGTGAAGAATAAAGCAACTTAAATTATTTTTCAGAAGAGGAAATATGGAACATCTCTTTAATGAAACATTCCCTCACACAGCATGTGCTGCTCTGTGAGATTCTTGAATAAATTGTTTTTCGAGCACAATTAGGATAAACTTTGAAAAAAAGTTATATACTGACATTTAGATAGTCAATACAAATCGGTCCTTGCTATCGTTACATCAATGGGACGTTCACGTGATCAGTTGGCATACTGACAAAAGCAATCAATGTTTGTTTGTTGAATGGTTTGTTCCATTTAGCCAGTTACCCAGCTAGTTTACAAGGGAGATTTTTGGCGCATCAACACAGAACAAAGAACATCAACGTGATCCGTACAGAATAACAGGCAACAATGGCACAGACAGGCATAGTGACGTGGCCATATGTCAAAGCCAAGAGGCTGTGGTTGATGTGGGCAGGTGTTGTTGGAAATTAAAAAAAAGCTCCAGCAATGTGCGGAGAGGTGGTAACTTGAGAGATCCCCGGCACTCATCTGTTCGCCGCGGTATGGCAAGCGGCCACGCGGCCGCTCCGGGGGCAACTCACCCTCGGCAACGCCCGATCGGGAACGTTTTTCAGTGCCGGCTACCAACACATTCCCTGTGTTGTTAATGCAGATGCCACCAGTGCAGTTGAACGACACGTATAAGCCGGTGAAGTGAAATGTACGATGGCAAGAGGGACAGCACGACAGGAAGGATTTTGGCTCGAGTCTGTGTGCTCCAAGCGGGAGGAGCTCTGTCTGTTTGTAGGATTGGCAATGTTGGACTCTTTTTTTACTTTGATTGGAGCTGTCCGCAGCACAAATGGAAAATCACATCGGCCAAAAATGTGTTTGTTTACTGGTTTATAAATTACTGTTTATTTTACTTTTTTCAGTAAACATGTCTTGTTTTATTGTATGCCACGATTCATGTTTAATTTGCTAAATTAATGCCTGTGCATTCCAAAATCTCTGTATATGCAACATTTGCAATGTTATTTTACACATGTGGGCATGCAAATAATACTCCAGTTAATTATCTTTTAAAAACTCAACATCACATACTCTTTAATTACCTAATCAAAACTGAGAGACCAAACTTATAAGCTGAGTGGTGGATAACTATATTTTAGGACATCGTTGTCCACGTGATCTACTGCCAGTGGCACTTGATGTCAACAAATCCAACCCTAAATGGTGTTTGTGTAATGGCTCGTCGAATCGTATCTTGACAAGTAACTGTTAGTGTAATCCTCTCATCCGGTAGTAAGAATGGAATTTGATTAGTTGATGTTATTGGCCAGAATGTTGCACAACAGTGCATAATGAGTTTTGGCCACTGTTTTTGTGTTGACAATTCCCTGTCATTTGGAGGAAGCGCTAGAAGCAATAACATCTGGTAAACTAGGGGCATTTGTTTGGTAGGCCTGGCTCTGCTTTAGATGAGACCCCGTCATCCCCGGTTTAGAGGTAGCTTGCTTAAACAAATGATGCTGGTTGATGTAAATATGGAAAGGCCAATTGTCTGATATACCAACAAATACTATAAATTGTTTATTCGTTTCTCAATCTGCTTGTCCAGTTGAGGGTTGCATGTGGCAATAAGGAACTAAGGTCGATTTATTTTATGACATTCCAGAAGTTCAGTATGGAAAACTTCTAAAAACAAAAACAGTGTTGTTGAAACCACATTTGTGTTGACAGAAAGAACATTTTTTAACTTGGAATTTTTAAAGAAAGTGTGAATTGTAGCATCGTGGTTAGTCTGCTGTGGCAAAACTGCCTTTTGCATGGTATAAATATTTGGCCTTTTCCTTGCAAACAGTGAGCAATACGAACATTACGCAGAGAAATGTACTACTAAAATCAAATTCTACATCACGGAAAGCCATACTTAAAGCCCATTGAAGGTGAATACAAAGGCCTTAAGTGATCTTAAAGGTCTCGGATTATGTCACGCATAAAAGCTCCGAATGTAAGGTGAAAGTTGAATGACATCAACAAGACATCACTGACATTCCGTACACTCAATAGTGTAAGTCAGTCAAATGTATGGCGCTCTCAGCGATATTACAGGAAAAAAACATTGCGCGTCACATTGCGAAGATGAGAGAGAGAGAGAGCCTTAACCCCGAACTGTATGCATATCCATCGGTTGGCTTGTTTGCATCTATTTGTTCTGGAACCGGTGGTTTCCAGGAAGTCCTCTCTTTCCTGTCTCTCCAGTCTTGGCCTTGGCCAGGACAATGGACTGCTCTGTTATAGCACGGTTCGGCCTTTGTGCCGATTGTTCTCCCTGGCTTTTGGTGGACAAGAAAGCGTACACGTGTGAGATTAATTTTTTTTTGGCAGAAACAGACATGACAGCATCATGGAAATATCGAAAGAGTGTGAGTGGAATGGAAATCAGATGTGCTGCATGTTGAAGGGTGAATATAATTTTAGTGCGTGGTAGCTTCCTTTAGCAATAACAAGAACATTAATTAGAATTTATAGCAAGGTGTGGTTTTTACTGAGTCATCCCTTGTTACTCTCTGGTTGAAATAACAAGTGGCAAAATGCAGCTCAAAACTACTTTTATTTCATGATTTCAAATAAAAAGAGTCTCAAAGATGTTTTGGTCTTTTCCCCAATGTTGCTTGGCAGTACATGATCGTAAGATATGTTTTTATCAGTGGCCTTTTAAGCTTTACACTACAGAGGGTGCATTTCCCCACACAGACTGCTATGAGATTTGTGTTTGTCTCATGATCGTGAAACCACTCTTTTCACGATGAGATCTGTAATGTACCAAAATTTAGTGAAAAATCGATTAATGATAATTTCTTATGCTGGTCATTGGTGACCTGACTTAAGACAATCAACTCGCTACCCTTGAAATGCCGTTTAATCATCAGATGTTGCCTGGATTTAAGCCCAGGATTTAAGCTGTGCTGGCTCGTTTCTCTGACTTTTTAACTAACCAACCACCCATATGGGAGTGAAAGTAATTTGTGCTAAGTATTCACATTGGCAAAGAGTTAAAATAGGTCTTGTGTTGAATCCCTACCATGTGTTTGTCTACTTGAGAATGTGTTAGAATACATTCTCAGATAGAGTTCTGATAACTTTTGGTGGCATTTCGGGAAATCGAAGCTAAGTGTTGCTGACTTCCTGCACCGCCACTTGTAACAGAGCTCCACTTACTTGGCGGTGATCATATTGCTTCAGTCTGAAGAAACAGATGGTAGTTATTAAATCAGCTAGACTCTTTGCTTTGCATGTCCAGTCTGGTTTATTGAGGCCTCTCTTGATACTTGTCAGTGGTCAACGTACATCAGGTGTTGAGCTCTTGAATCCTGGCTATCATCTTTCCAGATGCTCTTGCTAATCTTTTGGACTTTCCAAGCAGTTCCGATGAACATTAATGCACTTTTTTTCGTGACATAAATCCAATGGAAAGAATGTTGACCTAATTTCATAAGACTAGCGTATTTCTGTCCACATACTTGCGAGCGTGTAATACAATATATTGACCAATTATCATTCAACCGACAAACAATTCACATTTTTGAGCCATTGCCCTTTCCAAGTAAGGATAAAAACCTACAAGCAATAACAGTGCATAACCTGTGTGTTCGACTTGGCTGTCGACTGACTAGAATTGTAAGCATCCAGTAATTAATTGCAAAGATGTGAATGTATGATGCATGTTTTCTTGTTGCTGCCGCCATGTGTGTATGTGTTACTTCAGTGTATGGGGAGCGGTAGTGTTGCGCTTGGCGCGCTGTGCTACGAGCCCGGCGACCCGAGTTTAATTCCCGCTCACGGCAAACATTGTTGACGATCATCTGAACCGGCCCTGGACCTCCCTTAGGTCGACTCGGCATTAAATGAGTAGCTGGTGCGATGTGTAAACAAAAAAACCTCGCCACTGGGGAGACTAAGGCAGCCAGGCGTGATGCTGGCCACCCACCACCTCGTCGGCCACAGTGGCCAGCCTTCATAGGTGCTCGCTAACAGCACTTGGTCCATCAGTTCATCATCAGGATGACGTCGTCGTTTTGTTATTTTATTTGAACCCATCTACGTGACTTTACCGAAAGACCCAAAGAATATGAATTCCTGCAGTCACGAAAGCTTTAAGTCAAGATTTAGTCTGTAAGGTTTTAAATCTAAATTTAAAACGAGTTTCTTTAGAACTGCTTTTTGTGTTTAGTTTGTTCCCCCCGCCACCTCCGATTAGCGTGGTTGACTACGTATGGTGCGAAAGAAGTTCAGCATGCATAAATCGAGGGGATCTTTGTCTTTGTTGCTTCAGTGTGCGGGTGCGACTTGGCCCAGAATGGCTTCTTCATGAAGAGCGGCGAGTACCTCTGCACACATGACTACCAGCAGCAGCACGGCACCCGCTGCACAGGCTGTGGGGACTTTGTGGAGGGGGAGGTGGTGACGGCCCTCGGCAAGACCTACCACCCGCAGTGCTTCGTGTGTGCCGTGTGCAGGTAAGCTACCCGGCATGTTCCATTGACTTGTAGAAGTTGGCTGAGAAGAAGTGTAAGTAGGGTGCTATGGTATGGCAAGCTTTATCCTACTTTGCCGTGTTTCTCAATCTTTAGTTTTCATAATCCGTGGTGCAGCTGTCTGTGATTGTAGGCTGTTTTGTTCCAGTTTGTTAATACTTTCTCCTATTTTCTTCCAATGTTGGTAATGGTGTTATGGCATGAGACAAAGCCTTTTTTATTTGGAACTCTACAGCTTGCAGTGCACCACTGTATCAGAATGCCCCTCAGGAGATGGCGTCAACATAACTATTACCGAGGTCACTTAAAATGTCCACAATTGGGTCATGACTTCGATATTCCCATGTCAATCAAAGCAAAATGTTAAAAGCTCAGTGTTGGAATTTAACCAATTATGTGAAAAAACACATTTTATTCATGTTTTTTTTTGTACTCGAACAGTGTGACCAAGCTGAGACCATCAACCCATCTTATTAATCAGCATCTGCTCTCGATTCGATCCCAGGATCTCAACGGTGCCAGCTCAGTTCTGACTCCTGAGCCACCAGGCAAACTCTTGGCTTATTTTAAACTTCATTGGAAAAAGATAGATAATTAGGAAAACTGCAGCTGCACCATGGGGAGTTAAAAAGATTGGAGCTTGAGAAACTCTTGCAGTGGGTGGCTGAAAACAAGGCGGCAGTAGAGCGTGCGAGACATGTAGGTATATTTAGATAAATAATGCAAGAATGTCCAGCCAGCAATGCTTTTAAAGAGCAGTGATTTTTTTTTTGTTACGGTCTCGTAAGTGTATTTATTGTAAACGCCACACTCCCTTCCTCTTCCTTTCTGGGTCCCCTCCCATAACCAAAGGAAGTGTTTGACTAATAAGACATATCCATGTTCATTTATTTTTTGTTTAATTCCCGGGCAGTGATGCATGTCCACCTAGGGTACAATAAATTGCTGATTACACAGACACTACAGCTTCACTTTTGAACTCATGTTGGTTTCACCTTATGACCGCATTGTAAACAATGGTTTTTATGTTCCACTATCTTATTGCAACAACAGTTGTTTAACTTCCTTACAACCTGTATGGTGATGTCATTTCGTGTCCTGCTGTAATATTTTATTTTACTGGTATTAATCACTGTGTACATTTTTATTTCTTTGGAAAATTTCCATTCGGTAGTGCAAGGGCAAACAATGTTTGCTTTGTTTTTCTTGTAAATATGTTGTCTTCTTGTGAGAGATGCATTTAGACATGACACACCATACACATAGGCGCGCTCTCCATGTTATCAGGTATCTACAGTCTCCTCGAGCTTGAGTGGACTTTCGGCTCGGTGGCCTGGCTGTATAGTCTTGTGCTTGGCATTAGCCCATGAGCTCAGTGGGATGGTCGGTGCCACCTGGGGTGGCAAATGTTACGAGTGTCCACCATGGGCAAAAAGCTACGTAAGCACACCATTTGTTTTATAAACACATTTTCTATTTATTTTCATACTTCGTAGATGTTTAATATGGTGGGTTTTTTGTTCTAAATTTATATTCTCTGTCAAACATACTGGCGCCCTACTTAAATAAACATTTTCCATAGAAACACCATGGTGATCTTGCTATCGACATATTTGTGATCTAGAGCTAACATTCTCCAAATATATAATTGCTAGCATATGCCACCGTGAAGGGTACCGATAAGCCATTTTTGGCCAAAGGGTACAAGAGCTTTATTGCACCTGAAGGGGAAAAGCTGTGCACGAGATGATGGAATAGCCTGTGCTTTCTGAATGGGCATTTGAATTGGCATAACTACTACCTTTAACGCAGACTGATAAGTGCTCCATAATTGATGTAGCTTTACATATTCTTTCCACTTCTAATGGAAAAAATAAAACCACACTTCAGGAAGAGAACAGAACTGTCAAACATGTCGTGTTATCGTAATACATTATTTATAGTTAGCTTGAGTATTACCACTCAGAAAACTAATGTGTGGCCCCATTGCATTTCCTGTGTAATGTTATCACTTCCTAGTGATAACATTACACTGCCCTATTTTGAAGGCCCACCCTTTCTTTATTCCTGCTCTGTGTTTTGATATTCAATTTGTACTTTCCACGTAGAATTGTGTTTTTTCTGGAAAAAAATGAAACATTTCAAGACGCAAACTTTTTGCAGACGATCATAACAGCTTTTTGGAAGCTCTTTCCATGCTCGCGAGTTTTTTTTCTTTATTGCTTGCAAACATTTTAAGATGTAGGTTTAAAAAATAACTTGTTATTTTTACTTCCATAGCATGATAGTATTATTTTACAGCATTTTGTCAATCCGCTGCTGGGTGAACGCCTTCCTATGCCATGTCGGTCATGGGGGTTTTCTTGCCCATGCTTCACCACACGCTTGTCTGTGTGGCTTTGTGAAGGGTGTCACCCAGGACCGGTTGAGATGTCACTTGCAATTGATGTTTTCTGTGGCCAGGAATCAACTCAAGTCACTGGGTTCATAGCAGAGGTGTGGACTCGAGTCATGTGACTTGGACTCGAGTCAGACTCGAGTCATGAATTTGATGACTTCAGACTCGACTTGGACTTGCATAACAATGACTTTGTCCCACCTCTGAGGTGTGGACTCGAGTCATGTGACTTGGACTCGAGTCAGACTCGAGTCATGAATTTGATGACTTCAGACTCGACTTGGACTTGCATAACAATGACTTTGTCCCACCTCTGGTTCATAGTGCAGCATGCTAATCACGACACTATCACTCATTCCGTAGGTTATAATGCTGTAATTTGTTATCTGAAAATAGATCTCTTTCAAAGAAAGCAAATGTTCAGTAGGATTTAGTACTATTTTGTAAAAAAAGATAACTCCTCTAACAGTGCAGCATGAAAAAAACAGTGGCAGAAAGTTATTTATGCAGCACTGTGTTTGTCGTTTTGCAGTCTGGCTTTATTATTAATAATATTAATAAAATATGTATTATGGATTTATATTTTACTCTAGACAACCGGAAAAAAATCCATTGATAATGATACAGATAACAGATTTTCTTTCTCATAATAATTTGTTGAACGGATACAGCAAACATGTCAAAGTGATGTGTGTCCCACACGCAGCTTCCCACTTCTTGCCCCGCCCCCCCCCCGAGCCGCACTTCTCCCCTCTCTCCCCTCTTGCCCCTCCCCCTTTCTTGCCTATTTGACCTCTTGCCACGGCAGCTCTCTCGCCCACTTCAGCAGTTTTCTTGCTGTGGTTGTCTCGCCTGATGAAGATTGCTTGTGTTGCGATCGAAAACGTCGTGATTTATTTTATTTTATTCCTACCTACGTGACTTTACCAATAAAACCAAAGAGAATTTGGATTCCTGCAGTCACGAAAGCTTCAAATCAAGATTGATATGTATGGTTGTTAATATTACCGGGAATCCCGGCCTATATTTTATTTAGACAGACAATTTCAATCCTGCTCTATTCAAAATATCTCTGTAAATAAAATATTGACAGGTGACCTCTTACATTGCATTTTCATGAGTATAATGTTACTCATGAGACTTGCTTCATATACTGTATTCATGAAAGTCCATGCTTGTGGATCGTATGTATGTATGTTGAACTTTTTTCACACATACGTAGCCAACCGTGCTAATTGGAGGTGCGGGGGAAGGACAACACACTAAACAAAAAAGCAGTTCTAAAGAAATTAGTTTGTAATCTTGATTTAAAAGTGCATAGCTCCAGTGGCTTCCTCATATCAGAAGGAAGAACATTCCAGATGGCCGCAGAAGCGCGTCTGTAAGCGCGCGATGCAGTGACCATCTTTTGTTCGATGGTTAGCCAAAAGCCGCTGTGAGGATGACCGGAGTTCGTGTAATGGTTTTTGCTCCTTGACGAGGTTCTTTTGTGGCAAGCACTTTGTGTGTAATAGAAGCCATTTACATGACCAGCTTGCAGGGCCTTGCGTGTGGGTGAAAATATATAAATAACAAAACGCCATCAACGAAACTGAAAATATTGATAACAACTAGTTCATATAATTTTCTCAAGTGCATTTTAACAATATTAATTATATACTATGACACAGTTTGGTTTTCACCACTGTGTTCCTCTGCCACCATCTGGTTCGTGATATTATTGCAGATTATATTGTTGAAGCTGGTGTACAAATCATGGACTGTGATTTAAATTAACATTTCTAATTTTCACCTAATATAACAAAAATATACGTTTGGATCTATATGTACACCTATATTGTTACAGCCAATAAAAAATGGTTTGAGTTATTCTTAAGGAAAACTAAATAAAGATAAATTTTTAGTACGTATAAAAAGATAAGTGGAATACAATTTAGATGCATTATAACCCACTCGGCTTGTAACCTTTCATCGTTTTCTTTTTAACCATGGTGGTGTGTAATTAGATTGGCCGTCTCATGCGATTACATCTACTCAATCCACTAATGAGTCGAACATCGCCATACACTCGGTGCTGTGTTTTTCAGGTGCCCTTTCCCAGCCGGGGATCGCGTGACCTTCAACGGGAAGGACTGCCTCTGCCAGCGCTGCATCCAGCCTGTTGCAACCAATGCCAAGGACATCGGTGCTTCCACCAGTAAGCGCTTGACCCACACTGCACAGCTGCTCAGCTGCCAAGGCCATCAATCAATGCACCTGCCATCATGCGAAAGCCAAAGCCATGTTTTTATTACAGATGCTAACATCCTGCCTGTGATGGATCTGCACTATTTTTGACAATATGTGCACATGTAAATCTTTCTTAATTGGTTTTGTCTTTTTTATTATTACTGAAAATATATAAAGGATGCTGTTGTGGCGTAATAGTCAGCACACCGGAGTGGCAATCTATAGTTCGTCATTTGGTCGATCTCCCGACACGGGGAGTTGAAACAATGGGAAGATTCCTAAAATGCCCCCACCTCTGTCCGTCCCGAAATATAAATGGGTAGACGACAGTTGGTTAATTGCCAGGTTGCATTTGGTGGGCTAAAGTGTACAAATGTGGGCACTCCGATCTCTTGCAAAACGTCTAGAGATTATATCTACAGCTCCCTCTAGTGGAGGACCTTCTGCCAGTAGTGGCATGCGCCAGTAATTACCAGGATGCACCATTACCATTTTACCTTTAAACATGTATATACAGCAACTTCCTGTCAGTGGAAAATGGGAAATACACTTTTGTAAACGCTGTGTTGTTTTTTCCAGGTAAAATTCAAAACATACCGAGTAAGTAACGACGGTATGTCTATGAGCATGCCCATACTTCCGTAATTTGACTGTTCCATGAATGTTCTCCTCATGTTAGGGGGATAACTGCATTATTGCATCCTGACATCATTATAGTGCATTAGCTTGACTAAAACAATCGCTTTACCATCGCCACCTGGAATGCCGCCAGCCATACTGCAGAGTAGAACTGCAACCACATTTTCATCAAACAAGCATTCTTTAAAACGCAAATCAAAGCCACAAGAAAATGATTGGAATTTGCGCCATTAGAATAACGACGGTGCAATGCAGCGGCAGCAGGCATTGCGTGAATAACTTCCCATGCCTTCATATTCAGTTTGGGAATGTGCAGGAAGTGCATGTTCAGGATGTGTGTGTGTGGCTACATCAAGTAAATCCCCTCCGGGGACAATATGGATGGAAAGGGGTTATCTTGGTGTTCAGGGGCAAGCTCGTGATAAACAAGCGTGTGAGTATATGAAGCACAGCCCTAGTGTGTGTGTTGGTGGAAACTCTGAAGTCATTGTTTCCGAGCGCATTAGCTTTGTACAATAGCTGGATTTTTGTAGCGTGGAAGCACAACAATCGTTAACATGTTCAGTAAGTATGAATCGTTGACATCTTCTCATGTAACAAATCTTTTACCCTACCTGCTTAATTTATATTTTTACCATACATGCTGTTGCGTGTGGCGCCTGCTAAGATTACCAGCTTTTTGTCGGATTTTTTGCGTAAGAACAACCAGATTAGTCAACTTCAGTCGTATTTACATTGACCGCATAATTGTTGTATTTTGTGAAATGTAGTTGGGCCAAAGTCATCTGAAAATCTTCAGTCTTGTAAAAAGACACTTATGTAATGTGTTAAGATGACCCTATCGTTGGTGTAAATTTTGTATTCAACTGTGAACTGTTATCCAGTATCACTGTGAGCTGCATTTAGGGTATCTTTTTAACAAGGTACTTTACAATGTACACTATTACGTAAAATGTATATTTAAGCCAGTTTTCACAATTGGACAAGAGGAAATACATTTAATTTAATCGTCTGTTCTTGGTAGTTGTATCATCATGAACCATAATCTGTCCACTGCTGGATGAAGGTTTCCCCACAGTGGAGGCGCATGCCTGTAAATCCAGAACTGCGGAGGCAAGGTTTGGTGGATCTAACGCAAATGTTGTGAAAAACCCCCTTCCCGTGGTTATCGAGGTGTCAGAAGGCAGTACAGCAATGGATTCGTTGCCAACAGTTTCCATCTGTACGGGGATAACATTTTCGCCACCTTACAAGTGTGGGTTTTCTCCGGGTGCTCCGGTTTCCTCCCATGTGTATAAACATGGATTAATTGGATGAAAACATGTTTGAATAAAAAAAAAACCCAAAAGAGTTCTCCGATTCGGCGTGGCGCTCTCCTGGTTAAATCAGTAAATTCCAATAATGATTGCATTGCAGCAATCATGTATGGTCCTGTGCAGCCGCAATCCATCTCGTTCCTGTGCATGAGCTAATTTTTTCACTCCCCTTTCCATGGTGGTCCATCCTAATGGTGGGTGGGGGGGGTTATCCCTTGGCTGTAATTTCATCACCAGCCTTGTCGTTTGGCTATTGTTTGTTCTTGCAATGTGTCCTATTCACACACAGTTACTTTTATTTAAGTCAACATTTTTTCTCAGATCCGCGTGTTCTTATTTTTGTTTCTCAATGTTATACGAAGCATGCATCTGTCCATGTATCTCGATGTACTTTTCAGTTTAACCTGTTTGATTATTCGACATTGTGTATGATAATGTGTGGCCATTGAGTGGTGCTGTGGTTCTCACTCTGTGCAATGAAACCGATGACCGATTCCTCAGTCCTCATGTAACAAACCTTTTACCCTTCCCACCCCTTGATATCTTCATTCAGCAGTGGATTGACAAATTGCTTTGAATGTATATGATTGTGAATGTGTATGCTGCATTCATTGAAAACATGAATAAAGCATTGGCCTAAGCTGGCTGTAAATGAGATAGGAAATTCAGGGAGTATCAATGACATTGTTCATTGTTCATCCATTCCTTGGCGTGTTGCAGACTGCACTGGCTGTGGCAGTGACATCATGAATGGGCAAGCCCTGCTGGCACTTGATAAACAGTGGCATCTTGGCTGCTTCAAATGCAAGACCTGCGGCAAGGTGCTCACGGGCGAGTACATCAGCAAGTGAGTGCCGCTGAGCCCTAAATCTCCTTCAACTGTGGGTGCTCTATGGTGTGAATTTTGGATGATAAACCAGCTAATGAAATATGTAAATCCTGAATGCAGAGTACAGTTGTTTAACCTGTCTTCTTCACATGCTATTCCTGTACTTTCTGAATTGTAAGAATGTATTTGTTTTAATAGTTTTTAACACTTTCGAACCTTCGGGTGAAAGTGTTTATGCTTTTCAGCTCTCCCCTTCCATAATTGTGGGGGAGGCACTATAACTTTTCCAAAGATGATCCAATATGAACCAACTTGTAGTCAGCATTTTTCGATTTAAAGCTTTCGTGACTGCAGGGATTCATCTTCTTGGTTCTTTCGGTAAAGTCACGTAGAAGGGAAGTAATAAAATAATACAAATAAAACATAATAAAATAAAATAATATAATATAATTTATTTTATTATGTTAAAATAATATAATATTTTATTTTATTATGTTTTATTATTTTATTACTTTTCTTCTACGTGACTTTACCGAAAGAACCAAGAAGTTGTAGTCAGCAGTTTTGTTGTAAATTTGCACTTACCCTATTGACCAAAGCGGTTCCCAAAACTTAGACGAACCAGATGAAAAAAAAGCACTTAAAAATATTCAAATGCAATTTACCCTGACAGCTACCCGTTGTCTTGCTGCTAATCAGAGCCATCCGAAGACAAACACATGTTGGGCAGTATTTACTAATCTTTGCGGTTGCATGATTTCTTTCTAACTTGGTAATTTTACGTGATGTCTGGACAGGGATGGCGTGCCATATTGTGAGCAGGACTACCAGAGCCAGTTTGGGATAAAGTGCGAGGAGTGCGGGAAGTTCATCACTGGCAAAGTGCTCGAGGTACGTGCCGAACTGGAGTCTGGTCTACACTGTTCCATACATAAGTAGCGGTTTTGTTCAAATACAAATGTTGGTTTCCCACCGCTATATCTACAGATTGCTAGTGGATTAGTCTCTGTAGTCCCCAGACCAGTTTTTCAAAGTGGGTACAGCATTTCGCGAATGGGCAAATAGACGGAATGGTGTATATTTATCCAGAGGCAGGCGTGATCACTTGCACTCTTGTGAGGTTTACGAAAAAAATTAAGAAACTGGGTTTTTACTAAAATTAAAACAACAAATCAATTGGCTTTACATTAACATGAGTAGTCTACAAAATAGCCAAGACTGTACCGGTGACCTTTGGCAATTTAAGAAACTCTTGGGCACCATTTGTAACATCTGGTGACCATTTACCATTGCAGAGTTAATTATCTGTGGAGCCGGTGATAATTACTGCAGAAGAGGAATGCTAGCCATAGGGACAGGGCATGGTTGTGCTTTATCGGTGAAAAGTAAAATGTTGCAAGAAAAGCCTCTTATCGAGCTGAAACGAAGATCGCATGGAATGTCTAAACAAGCAAAACAGGTCACACATCCCTGCAGGTTATAGATTATTTGGTTTACACTTGAAGGAAAGACTGGCTTACTTTGTCACAAAAGAAATACACGTTTAACTGAGCACAATCTCTGCTGTGCAGCTGCCTCTGTTCGTTCCTGTGTGAAGCCACTCCCCATGTAGCCATTGGCCACCCAAAATGAAGGCTTGCAGTTGGCTGCCCCACTTGCGTGCCGTGAGCAGTCACTCAAGCATCCAGCGTGACCTGTCTTTTGAGTTTAGGATAGGTGCCGTCTTTTTTGCTCATGCAGGAGAATTGGAGGTTTTATTTTGTTAAACCCTTCAACGACAGCAGTGTTTAATTGTTTAGTGGCTTACAATTATAACTACGTGGTATTGTTGGTCTAGCTGCTTTCCTGGCCATTATGAAATACTTAGAGATGGTAAGTATATGTCTTGTTTTTTGCGATCGTGTTTAATACATGCTTCTCATTTTATTTGGTTTACATTGTGTGTGAATCACATTAAACAAAGGCTTGGTGAGATTGGACAATCACAGATGCAGTGAGATTAGTGATTATAATAATGATCAGCCCTTTGTCAATCCACTGCTGGTGTGGCCTGGGACTGTTTTTGTTGTTGTTTTGTTGCCTCGCCTAAGCTTGCATTTAGTGTAAAAAAAAATTGGCAGAAATGTATGTACTTATGTAATTTGCACTTTTTACATTCTTTTTTTTAATTCAACTTTAGTTATATACTTGGTTCTTTCGGTAAACTCATGTAGAAGGGAAATAATAAAATAATACAAATATAAAACGAAAGCTTTAAATCAAAATTCTACTTTAGTTCTTGCTTACCTTTGCTCTACCTTGCACTCCTATCGTTTTTGTATTAATGTTGTAATTATAAATAAATATTCTGATCATAAATTCTGTATCTCTCATGAGGGTTGCTAGACCATACTTTAATACACTGGTCACTGCGGGTTGTTGTAATGTAATAAACATAACAGATCTTGGCATACTGTGGCAACTGAATTGACTTGCAGTGACAACATTAGAATGGCATGCTAGAGCTTCCCTGTTCTCTAGCATTGCGTAAAACCCACAGGAACACATGTTTCTTTCTTGCTTCAGCTAAACAATGTTGTGTAAGTCTCTAAACTTCCTTCTTTATGGAAGATATTTTTTGCAGCAACTAGAAACAGTAGAATATTTGTACCTTTTGGTAGTTATTGAAGGTGGATTACGATCAAAATTATAAACAAAAGAGGCGAATACGAACAGGATGGAGTGGAGTGCTTTTGTAAAACAGAATGTGTTAATGTGTAGATGAATTTTGGCATCTCAGCACATTGTGGGGTGACGGTGTGATGTGGAGAGGGCATTCATCCAGCAGTGGATTGATCATGGCTGATAATATATTTGTTGCCCAGCTTACTTTTACCATTTCCAGCTGTGTTGTTGCAAGATTGGCCCAGTTTGTTGGAAAATTTTGACATTTTCAAGCATTTAGTTACATAATGTATTGTTGGAATTTCATCAGCTGTAAAAAAAAGTTTATAGGACCCATACTTAATTTGGAGCTTGTGATAAGCGAGACGTCTGGGTGGTGTAGTTTGAGACACTGCACGGCTAATGGGCGGAGCAAGATCATGAATTAAAATAATTGTGTTTAAACCGCAAAGAAAACTAACAAAAACATTTAAGCAGCGCCGTAATATTAAACGCATAAAGTTGATTGCACGTTATTTAACACGTAGACTGCCACAGTGCAGATAAAACTATAAACATTTTCACGTACAACTATTTTGCCTCCAATCTTTTGCTAATCTGGTATAAAAACAGTGTTACATTGTGGCACATAAGCAACACACAGGCTGTGTATATTTTCCAGGCAATAATTATTTTGCCTCGAAACCGGGTTGGCAAATTGCCCAATGAGAAATTCATTTTTAAAGGAACCGTGAATGATTGCACATTATTGAAGTGTGGGCTTTTACAACATTCGGAGATTGGCATAGGCAGGATGAATGCTCTTTGGAAATTGGTCGAGTGAGAGGAATACCCAAGCAAGGCTCCCAAAGGGTCAGCTGCTAAGGGTTACGGACTCCAGGGGATTTTATGTCAATTGACATATTTTTATGATGCAGCTGTCATTCCATGCATGTCTTTAAACACCCTAAACAACATTTTTGCAAATGGTTTTGGATAATTTGCATTTTACATACACTGTAGTCCTTTTATCAAGGCTATATAACTGTATTTATATGTTATTCTAAGAAATGATATATACCATGTGCAACATTTATCTTCGGAATATTTAAATAAACCTGTGATTTAATAGATGCTTTTAAACAGGAAAACAACAATTTTGGAAATGGTTTAAGATGATTTGCATTTTGTATGTATGGTTCTGGTTATTTAAAAGCTGTATTGTTTTTTTATACCAAATTATTATATATAGGGGATTTTACATTGTTAAAAAACCTCGTATCTTAGTGATATTTAAATTTCACATGAACAACTACAGATACATTAACGTGCATATCATGTCTAAATATTCATATTTACACCGGTATACAATTTCATTAACACAATAATGGATATCCATATTTCATGTTGGAAGAGGAGCTGAATAACAGGCATATTTTAATGAGCCACTGACTCGTGTGTGAGTGCAATGTCGGTCACAGTTGTCTTTCATTACCGATCCATATTACGATTCATCTCTACATGCAGATGCTCCTTTTATTTTAATATTTTTTTCGTCTTGGCTAGTAATCCATAGCTGGTATAGCTCTGTGATGCATCTTCAGGTTATACCCTTGTGTTGTTCAGCATCATTTCCAATGTTTGGCAGTGGTAAATCTACGCAGTCGCAATTCATAGCTGTGTAAAGCATTCTTAAATACACACTTTGCTGGTTTAATAATAATGAAAGTTGTGACCTGTCTTCAATTTTTTGGACATTTCTGGAGGAAAGAGTAACAAAGAAGCACTGTTACAATACATGAAAATATTTGCAAAGAAAAATAAAACGCACCGCATTCATTTTGTCATTGATGTTAACTTGGAAGGAAAAAAAAGCATTACCTTATTCACAACGTGTTTTGAGTGCAAAGTGTTCAACTTGCACATTACAACCTCACCTGCAAATACATACGTCCACAATTTGCAAATGGACGATGTGCTTTTATTTGGTTCGGTGGACGTTGCACGTTCACCCCCCTCTCCCGTACAGGAAATCGACTGAGCCACTGTCTCATTAGTTTCTGCTCGCACACAACCAAACACCCACCACACCAGCACACCACCACCCACACACGCGCCATCACATCCGCATCGGCACTGAGCATTCCGTATGGAGATAAAACCCCTCCGTCGGTCGCAAACCTCTCCTTTCCCCCTTTCGTGCATGGAATACTCATCTACCCGACGCTGTTAACCACAGAGCCACCTCTCGTTCATATTCGCCTGTCAGAAATTATCTCGTTTCATGACTCCTGTCTTTAAAAATGCAAAGGAAGAGGACAGCCAGAATTCTAATCTTGTCACAGAGGACTGTGGAGAGGAAAGGAAAGAGGTGAGGTTTTAATATAGCTCCTTATCTCTGGCTGTGCATGGTGGGGGATCATTCAGTCGTTTTCCAATACATCAGTGGTTGCTTTCCTGGCTTTTTATTTAATTGCACATTTGCATTTATGAGAAACGCGTGAACAGTCTAGCATATATTATGATGACAGAAAAAAATGCGGCTGTATATGTAAATTATGTTGTACATCTTGATATCTATTTTAACTTCACCGTCGAGTTTATAAATATGATATGATAATACTGTACTGTGTTTTAAATAGCTATCGGTTGCCTCGTGTGTGCTATGGGAAGAGTACAATGCATTTGTGGACATTGCACATGTTTATTTTTGCTTTGCTTGGTGTGGCATGTTCAGTGCAATCGTCATTTATGTCATGTTAAAAGGTTTGTACTAAAATAAAAACCAGGAATATAGCATTTATTTGCAGACCAAACATTTTCAATCTGATTAGAGAGACCTTGAAAATAATGACGTGAATGTGCAGTGTATGATATGAATGAATGAATTAGGCCCTTCAAGGTATAATTATGCTTATGTGTTTACGATACGCACAGAATTACAACAGTGTTTTGAACATGTTAAACATTCCCAGCTGGGTACATGCTTTGCTGACCTCACTTTATACAGCAAGAGTGCGTTATATAAATGAGCATAACCAGCACACTTACAGCGAGTCGATGCTTATGTGCTGTGAACGTATTTTTAAAAACGTCAAGCCAACATCAAGGCAAATGTCTCTGATGGACTGTGGTAGGAGGGCACTTGCAACATTGACATCCAGATATGTTCGGAGACTTTTTCATAGACTCAAGTAAGCACAGTGTAAATATAGTGGGGTTATTTGGCTGAAAATGAAAATAAATGTGGACATACAATTCTGTAAATAAATGGAAAGTGGATTAATTTGAATGTTACGTCAACATAATATTGTGTATTAAAATTGCTGTCGAATTCTTGTTTTCTTGCTGGTTATGATATAATCATTAATGTTGTTGCTTTGTCAATGTACCGACAACATATCTTAGCTAGTGCATGATAGTTTTCAAATTCTATTCTTTTTAATATATTTAGGAAATTCAACTCAATGCAAGTAATGTTGCTTATTCATAAACATTTACAGGTGGGTTCACACTGCTACGTGTTATTTTTTTTAGGTACAGATTTGCATCTTCATTGATGTGGAAATTCTGTTCTGTAGTTTGGTGTGTTGCATTTATTCGATATCAAGAAAAACTATATTTTAGGTTGTCAAGCTTTAAATGAACATTGTTAAAATAGAGGAATGAATGGTCCTCACTAGTTGAGTTTCTTGTGGCAAATATGTCTTCCACCTATCTTCATCCGCACATACTCAATATGCTCTAACTTGTGCCAGTAATTAAGGTCAAATACTCACTGCACCGTTAACAGACACCGAGGTCGTTACCTTCTGTAATTTTAATTAAAGGGAAATTCTTCAAGACCACCATGCCCTGTCCATCTAGATTTTTATGGCCACACAGCAAATGCTCTGTTGGACACATTCCCCCCCCCCCCAACACTGTTTAATTTATATTGTAATCTTCCTGGGCAGGAGGCAGACGTGAACCCATGGCCTCCCATGCATGGGAGAACAATACCACTTGGGCTTGGCAACACATTTCACACTGGAATGCCCATTCTTCTATTCAAATTTGTTCAACCAATTTCTTGGTTTAGACAATTTTGCATATAATCTTGGTGATACGTTATAACAATTACGAATACAATATATTTAAAACAGAAGAACATGGGATTTGTATATGTGAATGGAGAATAATGCCATCCCACTTTGATGCACATTTATAAGAGGACCGGTTTAGAATTTTAATCAGCACTCGTATTGGCTATTGGGTGCCCCATGATTCACGCTATAAAACCTCAGTGGATGTGTGTTGATGCATGCTCCTGACATTATTTATTGGGCCATAAATTTGCTTGCATGGTGTGAGTGCAAAAACAATGCAGGCTCTAAAGCATCAGTCATGGGATAGAATTACTAAATGCAGGCCCTATAAGTAAAGGTTGCAAGCATTCATGTATTTATGCATTGATGTGCTTCACATTATTGTGCTTGCTATTATTGCCAAAACATAGAATGCTCTATGTATACATTTAAAAAGAATATCATTGGTGTCTCATTACCGTGCCAGGACCATACACCTATGACTTACCGTACAACTACGATTTACCTTACGTGAATTGTACCAATGCTAAATTATATTAATATATCGAGTCTGACGTTTATTTGGTATAACCATGTGAGATTCAAGAGGACCCAGATAGTCTCATTTTCTCGAGCGACCTTGGTCACGAATCGTATTGTATTACCAAACTTTTCTTTATCAAAGCACTGCAGTGAAAAATGTCTCTCATTGTAGAGTTCCTACAATGAACAGATAGTATGGTATTTTTTTACTGGTAGAAAGGGGAAAAAACCCAATGAAACAGCAAAGCAAAAAATTGTTGAGAGATTATCTCCACGTTACAGTAGCACCTTTCACAATCACAACAGCACTGCTAGCCTCATTCGTGTGATAATGATGCTCTTGTCCTTGAGAAGTAATCACTTTACGCTATTATTATATGTTTATTTTACAGCAATGTTTTTCAAACTAAATATCAATATTACCTCGGTGTGTTGAACATTTTTTTTTATTTGCAAATTGTGCATACCACAGTACACTAATGATAGTAATGCTGTATCCGCACCTCCAATTAGCACAGTTGACTACATATGGTGTGAAAGAAGTTCAACATACATACGGTTCAGTAATACCCTTTACTTACCTAAGCCATTCTCATTGAAGAATCACAAGGCTCATTTTCATGTCCTGCATTGGACTGATTGACCAATGCCATTCATAAGTGTTTTGCAAAACATTGTTATAATTGTAACATGATTATTTATTGATGACGTATTACAGTTTTGTCAAATAATTGTCTTTATAGCTACCTGTAATTTTTAGCTGACTCTTGAAGAGCAGCAGGCTTACGCTCTCTGAGGTGTTTTAACCACTCAGGTGTGGTGGTGCCGGTGAGTTGGCTGGCCTCTCAAGGGTGGGACTCCAGTGATTGAGTAAAATGTCTTCAAAGTGTTAAATACAATTTTTTGTTATCTTACATTACCTCATGAAACCTCACACACACCTTATCCCAGATTTATTGAAACTATATTGACATATTTATTTAATAAGTGAGGTGTTTTTAATTTGCATGATCTCATGTGCTTTCTTTTAGACTTTATTAAAACAAACTAATCAAATCCATGTTGGACTGTCCCCTCCTTAGCAGGTAATTCTCATTTGTTTCTATGCTACTTAGCAAAAAATAACTTGAGTCAGCGTTCAATCAATATTTAATGAGTTTCTGGATTTGTTTTACTGGCATGTTTATAATGCAAAACCGTATTTTAAAATAGTTCAAACGCTTGTTTTTTTTGTCACTGTGTGGGAAGTGTGAGAATGGTACTCTTGCACAGGCCGCGCTCGTGTTCCCTTTATTGGTACACATGTAAAGGAGGATGGCCCATTGCACAGTGCTTGCTGCTTGTCCTGCAACAAGGACGTCGATTAAAACAACAACATGATTGCAGACCCAGCGCACAAATGCCCCACTCACATGGCTCGCAACCCCATCAACCCTTTCAGACACACGTGCGTTTCTATCTGCGAGAACACAGAGGGCTCTGGCAGACACTACCACGTCTTCTGGCACACCGCACGTCTCACAAATGAATCGGCCATTTGCAGTGTGGCTTTCGAGGCAAGCCACAACCGATAGATGTGTGGCTTGGTTGTAAACAAGCAGAGACCTGCAGAGTGGAGTGCGCTGCTTCTCATTAAGAATAATGCAGGCACATTTTGCTGCGTCTTATTTATGTTGTGTTGAGACTATTTGAGTCGTGTTATTCTTTAGAAATGTAATGGGGTTCAGCACAACATGAATTTGTACCTGATGAATGTATTTGTAGAACGTGATTTGTCCTACTCTTATGTATTTGCCACAGGACAGATGATATTATTTGATCACTGTGATGTTCAGCATGTTTTTCAGTTTACATCCTGATGCGATAGCTCCTTTCATAGTCGGTACTGCAAGTACAGTTGGTATTAAACCTCTCGGCGTGACCTGTAGAAAATGATTCCTTGGCATTTTGTGTTCGAGTGAAATATTGTTGTTTTCAGTGAATAGTTTTACATTTATCCAAGCAACAATAATGATATACGATTTCTAAACGTCTACAATAACAAGTATTTTCTCTCCAGCAGTTTTATATAAGCGAAATAACACACCCTTGCTTATCATAATAAAGTACACCCTGTAATGACTGCTTTGCTCATCGTTGTTAAAGAATAGCTCATCCCGGTTGAACTCGTCTGACTGGATTTAGTGTTACATGTATTTTCATCATACCGTGTGACATTTTTACAACCCTAAACCCGGAACTACATTTATACCCATTTACATTACACCGGGCTTATTTCTTGTACCATCTCTAATAAATCACGGCTCGCTTGTTTATGTGAAAAATATCCGTGTGGTGTGTGAGTGTGTTTTCTTTTTGACTCTGCATTTTCAGGACCAGTTGGGTTGACGGCCGTCAGTGACCTAACACACACGGGTGACGTGGCTAACGTCACGCTCCGTCTCTCCCTCTCTCTCCGCTTGTCCACGCAGGCAGGGGAGAAACACTACCACCCGAGCTGCGCACGATGCGTCAGGTGCAAGCAGATGTTCTCCGAGGGGGAAGAGATGTTCATGCAAGGTGAGTCCGATCGCTCTCGGCGTTGAGTGGCGGACACGATTCTCCCGCAATGTTGGGCATGTTCTCTTTGGAATGGTGCTGATGGTACGAATAAGGGGGTTGTTTTGTGTTGGTGGAAAACGTTGACATTATTTATTGCGTTTGTGTTGTATGTAAGGCTCTTCCATCTGGCACCCGGAGTGTAAGCGGGCAGAAAGGGCGGAGGAGAAACTAAAGGTAATACATTTTCTTTTACCAACCGTGCGGTCGTGAACCGTTGTGGTCGCGTTGTGAGCAGTGTGCCTCAATGACAAAATCCCACCTGTGTCACATTTCATTAAAACGTGCAAATTACGCGGTAAATTACAGGGCTCAATATAGCATCTCACAATCCATGAGGTCATACAGCTCAACAGTGGCAACATCTGTAGAATATAGTCATCGGTGACAATTTGAATGCAAACGCCCACAACATCGCAAAGGACTTCTGACACCCAATCTGCCCTACTGTCTGGCTGTCTCTGATGCCATGTACCTTCTGCCTGTAGAAGCTCTCTCCCCAGCCTCGCTGGCGCTTCAGCCCAAAGGTTTGTCTGCTTCCATGCTGTCCGGCTGGGCCTTAATGCGTGGGTTATTTCACTGCTAATTTCCTTCACTCGCCCCATTCCTCACGTCTTAACTCACCCATCTCTTGGCTTGACAAGCAAGACACGCGACACCTACTGGATGTTTTTTTTCTCTCCAAGGCTCATTTTGACTTGGTCTCGTCCGCCCTCTGTGGGTGACAAGCTTGAACTTCATTATTTTTCTAATGTTGGCTACCGTATGATTTTTTTTTAACGATGGTATTTACGCAACATATCACGTTAACAACTTATACGATTCTTAACGCGTTGCGAGTTCATTGCGCACATTAATACCTTTATGATAAAAAAAATGTGTTCACTCCAGACAAAAATTTGACCTGTATATCACAATGTTTCTAACATGGCGAGGATGGTTCTTACTCACACTTGCGTATACATCACTTGAAAATGCAATTAATTTGAGCCACATATTTTGACATGTTTTTTAAGTTCATTAAAATTCTAAGTCATCCAGCTATAAGACTGAATTAGTTTGTGTTTGAGAATATATTCATATTTACTGTGTGTTGTTTCCCGGTTTATTTAAGACACAAACGCATATTTTTAGCAATTGATTCTTGTATTTGTGATCCTATCGGTGGACTTTAAATGTCCTGTTATATCATGTATTTTTACAGTAATGTCTTTACACATCTGTATAAAGGTGTATTTTGTTCAGAGCTGAGTTTTATTAATGCTATACTATGTTTAAGTGGAAATTATGTTTGTGGTTTGAAACAATAACATATTTGTACATTTTAAGTGATGGCTGTTTATAGTACCATATAGTCTTTTATGAATTCATATTACATGATGGTTTTGTAAAAAGTAATTTAATATTGTCTGATCACATGATGTAAAACAAGTTGGTTTCAAGCTGAGCATCAAGCAAACCTGCAGAACAGTTTAAACTACGAGCTATGCATTTCATTACGCTGTTTACAATAGATATCACCACAATTGTTGCCAATAGAATTCTCTTTGAAGAACATATCTTTAACAACGTAATATCTATACTTCTATCATATATTAATCAATGCTTGTTCTTATACTTTCCAGAACACACGTTTTTTTTGTTTTTTATCAGTCTTTCTTTTTCTCCTTGTGATGTATGCCCGTGTGGCATTAGATTTTTGTTAAATGTTATATTTCCGTTGAGGGATCATTCCGTTCACTTGTGTGCAGCTCATAAAAGAATGATGATGGCACGCGGCTCCGTGTAATGCAATCGCTTCTCGCTGTGTGTCCCCCCCAACAGCCTACCCGGTCTTCATCGGAGAGCATCTCCTCGCGACCAGGCTCCAGCCTCGGCTCTCCTGGGCACACCATATATGTGAGTCCCACATGGCCCCTTGTTGCTGTGGCAGCTTTAACGTTGGCCTGGGGCGTTAGGTGCCTTTGTAGAAAATGCTTTGAGCAGTGCAATGTCGGTACTCGATAGGGTTGCCACTTGTCCTGGTTTTCCCAGGATCGTCCTTTAGTTGAGTTGGTTGTCCTGGGAAATCTGCAAGTCCCTTCCCAAGACATTCAAATGGTTGCTTGGAGTAATTTGTCTTCTTGGTTCTTTCGGTAAAGTCACGTAGAAGGGAAGTAATAAAATAATAAAGTAATACAAATTTTACATAATAAAGAATAATTCTCACGACGTTTTACCGAAAGAACCAAGAAGATGAATCCCTGCAGTCACGAAAGCTTTAAATCAAAATTTGAGTAATTTGCTTAACAATACGCCGCTCAAGATGATGCCTTTGATGTTTTTGTTTTGTTTGTTGTTGTGATGTTCTGGCCGCCCCTTCTGGACATCTGTGAATAAGAGCTTTATAGCTCATCGGGTTTCTCAGTATAAATAAATATTCTGATTCTGATTGACATGCGATCATTCTCTCTTCCAGTATTGTGATGCTCTTCTCACCATGATATGTCCCGGGTTTTTTTCTTAATATATCAGAGGTGGCAATCCTAGTAGTTAAAACTGTCTGACTTCTGCATTGTGTGTGACCATTTATGCTATAATAATAATTTTTGAAAATGTTGGAGTAGTGTATAAAAAATAGTACACTCACACAATGCAGTTTACAGAATGTTGCACTGATGGTATTAGCCAAGTCTCTTTGCGAGAATGTTGTAGCGCCTTGTTCCCTAATTTTCCCCTGTTTCATCCTGATCCCCTCCCCCATACCCAATGTTCCTAACCCTTTCCTGGTCTTTCCCAATTCCCTCCTCGTCTTCCCTTTGATCCCCCCCCCCCGTCCCCTCCTTCCCTCTTCCCCTACTTTAGGCCAAAGTGGACAATGAGATTCTGGATTACAGGAACCTGGCCGCCATCCCCAAAGTCAAAGCCATTTATGAGATCGAGCGCCCGGACATGATTACGTACGAGCCGTACTTTAGCTACGGCCTGGACGAGCGCCAGGAACGCTACAGCCTTAGCGAACGGCAGAGCGTTGGGGAGGTATGATTTAGGAAACGGAGCTACAAAATATATGAGAAAGCATTGGCTGATTTATAATGTGACCTGCGGCTGTTGCTTTGTGCACGCCTCTGTTGAATGTAAACACTGCCTGACTGCAGGCCACGCTGCATGGCAACTCATCGGTACTGCGGCAGTACTTGTTGGAGTTTTTCAAATGCCAAAATGAGCCACAGTTGCTGCACTGGCCAAACCCAAATGTTGTGCAGAACTCATGACTCGGGGGAAAAAAAAATGTGTTCAGCGTTGCACTAACCCGACTTTGGAGTGTGGCTGGTGGGTGTACAATGGCTTGCAGATATAGATGCACCACCTCACTAATTTTTGCCGTTCTGCTTTGGTCTAACACACGTGTTCTCTGTGTCACTGCTGCCAGCTCTCCCCACGGACCATCTCTCCGACCCCGTCTTATGAGGTAAAGGGGGTTTAAACATGTTAAATTAAAAAAAACAGAAATGTACCACCTACAGTTTTGGCCAGCCTAAATATCAATTGCCTATGACCAAATCAGTTTCTAGGTTGGATTGAGCCTGGACAGTGCTTAGATGGGTGACCACCATGCACAGACAGGTTGTTATAGGCTTCTATGGGCATACATGGTGGAAAGCAGTGCAACAAAATCTAGTGTTGTACTTCTGTGCTCCCACCTTTATGATCAAATAACCCCCCCACAAGCTCCACCGCATGGGTAGGCCCTCATCCAACAATGCATTAACAAAGGGCTGTGCGTGTACAAATATCAATTGTATGTGTCGGTATGTTCATAGATACATACATTTGTGTTTGCTGGTTACTGTATCACATGATGCAACATGTTATTTGGTGCTGTTGCATAATTGTATGGTTTCTAAACCTGGCTGTGTGTCGTTTTTGTATTTGTGCATTTTTTAAAAAGTGTACTGGCTGGAATGCTGGTACACACCATATACATGTTTGTCATCCATTTTGGCCAAGGGTTGTTGTGTGTGTCCATTGTATGTAATCTTCATATTTACATACATAGTGCATATATGGTATAGTAAGCGAGTGTATATTTCATGTACAGTATAATATATGCATTTGTTTTCAAGCTTATTTTTATTGGTTTAAATAATAGGGGCATAGATTATGATGCCCGCTGACTAATGAGAGCCAATTCTCACGTATTGGCAGCCTGACATTTATTGGGTTGAAGATTAATGTGTAGATGTAAAATAACACAATTGACTAGTGAATGTGTCGGCGTAAATGCAAATGCCGTAAATATTTTTTGAATTAAAATTGCTAATCACAGTGCACAGCCCTTTGTCAACCCACTTCTGAATGATTGCCTCCCCATGCCTTTCGGTCATGAACTTATTGGACTATACTTCACTCCGTGAGTCATTGTGGCTTGGTGAAGGTAGAGCACCCAAGGCCGATTCGGACATCACTGCTACTTGTTAACCGTGGCCAGGACTCAAACTCGGGTCGCTGGGTGCATAGCGCAGTGCAATAAACCGTCGCTGCTTAAACAACTAAAATATACTTAGTTTATTTGAACATATTGTATCAATTTCAAAATAATAATGCAGTCCAAATAAATGTTTGTGTCCGTTTACAATAATACATTTGTTGATGTTTTCCCCTGTAGGTTAAGCTCACGCATTACGAACCGCGTTGTGTCCTTGCAGAGCTACCAGGATGGGAGGGAGCGCGGCGAGCGCCGCCTGAGCCAGAGCTCTGGCAACGCCTCCCACTTTGCCCGCCACAACTACGTGCCGCCCACCGCACGCTCCCCGCAGCACTTCCACCGCCCAGGTGAGCCTCGCGGTCTCTCTCGCCAAGGCGTGCTTTGTCCGACTCTTGTTTCCCTCCTCAGCTCCAGCAGAGCCTCTGTGTGCTGAGCTGCCAGCCTCCCCCCCCCCCCAGACCCCCCCCCCCGGACCCCCCCACCCTTCCTCAAAGTGAGGTTTTTGTAGCAGTGGTGACGTAGGTGGTGTCCTCGCCCTCCCCTCAACAGGGGGGGGGGGATAGTGCAACTGTCGTCTAATCCCATACGACGTCACTGCCAGCTGCTGCCACGAGTGCCATCACCGCCTTAAGCCGCTCAGTTTTTTTGGTTTCCAGCAATGAACCCAATGCAGCTTGTGATTTTTTTTGTTTGTTAAAAAAATATATCACCCCCCCACACACATATATATTTATTTTTGGGTACTCACGAAAGCATAACCACTTACATTGTGCTCAGCATGTCAATTTTAGATGATGTATGTGAATCATTGGTTGATTTATAAATCACATTGTACTGTAATACCCCATCCTAATAACTAAAAACACATTGTGCCTCACATTTACCAAGGGAAATCAAGGGTTATTTCTAATTTGAGTAATTTCCAGCCTCTTCATAAGTCATTTTAAGCCTCTCAATAAGTAATTTCCAGCCTTTGTTTCGCTATAAAAGAGGATTTAAAATCATGAAAAAGATGCTTTGCATATTTCGACTCTTCTGCTTTATATTTAGCAAAGCAATTTAAATAAAGACCGCAGAATCATGCTTATCTCTTTCTTGTCCCGTGCACATGCATGGTCATCGCTTGCAGAGTCGCTGTCATCCGGTGTGCCTCGCTCACAGTCACGTACTGTTAGTAGCAACACTGACTCCACCACCACCATCAATAGCCGCCCCGTTTCCCCCAACAAACACAACTATGTGCCCAATATCAAAGGTAAGGGGAGCAGGTTTCTGGCATTGGTTGCCCCCCCCCTACCCCCGCACGCAATGTTCAACTCATCCCCCCGAGTGGCTCTAATTTAAAGTTTTGCTGTGTCTGAGCTTTCGGCGTAATTTCAGTTTTGCACACACACTTGCAGTGGCGATGTGTATTTATACTAAACTCTAGGCGTGATGTAAGGGGAAGCAAATGCAGCACAATGCAGTTACTTTTCGAACGGCATTTGCAGTCTGTAATCCAATGCATGTGCTACCCTTTTTAGGGTGTCTGCACACAAGTTGTAAAAAAAACACTTGGCCACACGTCTGCCATTTAAACGAAAAGCATGAGTGCCCAGCTTTATCCCTGTGCAGATATATCCCGCATGAGTTTACTTGACTGTTCAATGCCTGACACGTTGTTTTAACGATCTTCAATTCGCTTGTTTTAGATTATTCATAAATTATATTATTTTTATGGACTCATTTGAGGCCAATTTGTATATACCAATATCAAGTTTTAATCTTGAAATATTTTACACAATACAAATATAAATAACAAAATACATTATCAAACCCAAATTTAGCCTCATTACAATTTAACATTTTTTTAAAGATTTGTTTTTCTCTTTCTGTAGGTGAGTTATTGCACCGTACGTAGTCTCTTTCCTCATTATACCCTCAACACAAACACCCTGTTTCAATTCCAACCTGAAACATTGTCACTTGGCTGGATTGTTTATTGAATAGATTAGACTGAAATGAGCAGTGTTGTGCTGTTGATAAGCACTAGGGAACGCAAAAAAAAAACTTTCACAAAAAAACAACTCCTCGTTGATAGCACTTCTGTGATCTTTTGGAACACTGGAAATGAGCAACTGGAGAAGACCCCCTTTCTCTGAATTCGTTTCTGCTTAACTAACATCTTGCAGCGGCCTTTGACATTATTTGCATGCTTTTTCCTCCCCTCCTTTTTCAAAACTTGACTTCGTTATTGTTTGATTTCCGTTGCGTTGGCGATTTTTTTTCCCCCCCTTTACCTTCTCATTTGCTTCCTGTGCTGTCGATGCCGAAGGGCCAGACTCAATGAGTGGGCGGAATTCACCATTCCCCTTCTGGTCCGACAGCCGGCCCCAAACTCCGACACTGTCTCAGGCTCCCAAACACTTTCACGTTCCAGGTAGGGCCAACTACTGCAGGGCCTGATGGGGGGGGGGGAAGAGAGAGAGAGAGAGAGTCATCTCTGTGTTCAAACTTCAGGGTTCCATTCATCGCCTCCAAGCACATGTGCGTCCGTCTTTTCATTTCTGCAAATGACCAAAGGCTTAAAGAGTTGCTTTTGGATCAAGTCAAAAAGGGCTAATGAATCTGCGAGCACCATGTTATCCAGATGTCTGTCATCAGATTCATAAAAACTCGACCCCAACCACAACTGACGACGGCTTGTTCCATTTGTGTTATAACTTCCATTTTAATAGTGTTTTGTGATGTCTCTTGTGCACTTTTATAATATTGGAATGGCAGTCCAGTGTAAATGAAAGAACACTTCTTGCAACACATTACATCCATTGATGTCGCTCTGGTCTTGTGGTTTGTTGCATGTTTTCTCTTTAGATAATTAATTCAATTGAATAAGTTTCAGCTTTCAATTTCGTATAAATTCTATTGTTGAGTGAGTTTTCCAACAATAACTGTACATCAATGCAATGTACAACGACGTTAAAACATATTGATTGTATTTGCAAATTTGTTTAGCTTTTCTTATTGTGTGCAAATATAAATACTATTTATTATTATTTCAATCGGAAATTGTATTTATTACTCGCCCTTCCAAGAGCAATGCTTGGTGTACTTTATTAAACGTAATTGATTTATCTTCACAGATGCTTCACTTAATATCTACAAAAAGCCTCCAATCTACAAACAACACGGTAAAGCTTTAACCTGTTCGACATTGATTAATGATGGTTGATGGTAGTGTGTTTTTTTAAATGAAAATTTACCAATCTTTCCTAATTGTCTTACTCAAATAAACTGTTTAATAATTGCATGGTCTATACTGTCGGAATATTTTTGCTGATATATGAGTTGATTTCATTTTAATAACAGTTATTGTTTGTTGCACTGTGTGTGTGTTAAATATGATTGTTTTCGGGTTGCATTTCACTTTTTATTTTGACTTTCTACTTTCTTTTTGTTTGTGTTGTCTTACATAATTCTAAACAATTAACTGGCTGCTAACCTCTCTGATCATCATTTTTCAAAGTAAGTATGGGTTGCTCCTAATAATACTGATTTTTTATTTTTTTATATTAAACAACTCTAAAGTTTTTGGTTTCTTCATTTTATAAAAATGCGTAGTTCTATTATCCACGCCATTAATACAGTTACATTTGTTATGCCCATTTTCTTGTAGTTTTTTATATGTAAAATCTGCTGTATTTAATTAATGTTAATAAAATGTATCATAAGATTATTAGCAACATATCCATTCACAGATATGATTGACTTATTTGGCATAAAGTGGATGAAGATCAAACGGTGCTTTATTTTAGAGTCATGCTTGTAACAGTCACAATAATATATCCAAATGCGTGACCAGCGCACTAAAGCATGCATTTTCTGAGCTTGAGGTTTTTTTCTCCCCAAATCACACAGATCCAGCTGCGATGGCTGCAAAGCGTAAGACAAGCGAGGAAATTATACAGTCGGCCAAGTTCCCGGCAGCGCAGGCCCCCGATCCTGAGGTCCCTGCCAAAATTGAGAGCGAGCACTGGCCGTGTCCACCATCCACCGCCTCCCTTGGTACGTACACCTGCAGCACCTATCAGCGTCGCCTCCTGTCCTGGTTTTCCCATCATCGTCCTCTCTTTTTTTTTTTAGGCAGTTGGTCTGGGAGATTTGTAAGGTTTCTTTGGACATTAACTATACCTGGTTTTGTCAGTTTTATCATAGTCCATTTACTTGTAGTTCTCCACTCTTCAGATATTGTGAGGTGTTCTTATTCCCATGGCTGTCCCGTCTTTTTGTATGTCAGAGGTGGTAACTCTGAGCACAGTATGGAAGGTGCGTGCCAACACAAGTCTGTGAATTTTCACGTATGGTTACACAATGTACATCGTACTGCACATGAGCCATAAACCAAACCAGCTTCTCCATGCATCACTGATACTAGCATAACATCAAAGAGCCACTTGTGGAAGATTAACAGAAGCTGTCTGTGTGCACGTGCTTATGTGGGGGTGGCAGGGCGAAGGGAGGAAGATGAGGGGTGAATGTTATTGCAGAGTGTTAGCAGAGTGGTGCAGAAGTTAACACAGAGCTACACAACTTGGTAACTTGGGTTCGATTCCTGACCATGAACAATGTCAGTGGCAAGTAGTATTAGGACTTGTCTTGGGCCTCCCCTAGGTCGACTCGGTCTTATTTGCGTACTTGGTGGATTGTGAAAGCATCAGCACTGGGGAGAGAATGATGGTCCGGGTGGTGTTTGGTAAAGGTCATTCCGGCATTAATAGATGCTTGCTATCACCCCTTGCCCGTATAATCTATAAGGCTAAGTGGAGTATCTTTGTTTCTGAATGTGTGCAAAGGTTCAGAATGGAGAAAGAAATCCCCTTCCTTGCCCAGCATGGACGATGAAGAGAAACAGAAGCGAAAGCAGCTACAAGGGCAGGAGCTGGGCAAGGTAACCTTGTCACTTTCGGTGCCTTGACAAAATCTCGCCCAGAGGCTAATAACAACTTTGCTGTTGCCCTCCTATACTCTTTGGTTCTTTCGGTAAAGTCACGTAGGTATAAAATATAAAATAAATTAAATCACGACGTTTCGATTGCAACATAAGCAATCATCATCAGGTATGAAAACTACAGCAATAATTTTTTTTAGCTTCAGCTAAAAATGTTATTGCTGTAGTTATATTTTATACCTACGCGACTTTACCGAAAGAACCAAAGAGTATGGATCCCTGCAGTCACGAAAACTTCAAATCTAGAATGAAGTTGCCCTCCTGTCTAGTCTACTCGTCAACTCGCCTGTTTCACCTTCACGTGTCAGCGTCAAGGGTAAAGCTTTGAAGTGGATGTGTCGGTGTGTGTTTCAGGTGCAGTCAGGCTTAGGCAAGCTGATTCTGAAGGAAGATAAGGAGGGCCAGGGAGCTGATATACAGGACGGCTTGTTGGTATCGCGCAGTCCCACTGCCGGCAGCAGGCTGTCACCTCTCGGCAAGCGCCACGACACCTCCCTCAATGCCTGTGAGTTTGACGAACTGTAATCAATAATCGTCTCTTCTTAGCCGCGATGCTGTTAAGGAAAGTAAAATGCGTGTGAAGAATATGGTTGCCCACCAGTCCTGATTTCCCCAGGATCATCCTCTATTTTGAGGAAAATCTGTCCCCAGGTCATTAACATTTCTTAGTTTTTTGTCGGTTGCTTAATAATACACTGCTCGATTATGTATTTGTGTGTAGCTATTGTCTCTTCCGGTCTTGAGAGATACTTTTCTTCCCATGAAATTGTCCTGATTTTTGTACGTCACAGATGTCACTCCTTGCAAACGAGCAGAATACATATAACTATTTTCATGTTTTTCCCATATATAATATATTAATAAGCTGTGCTACATCTAATACCGTTTAATTGTTTTAACAGTTCTGTAAATAATATGTAATGTTGTTGGTGTGCCTGAAATTAGTTTTGTTACATTTATACACTCTTTAACTGGCCACAGCACACATGCTGTAGGACAAAAAAAACATGGTGTGTAACATAATTCCTTGTATGTATGAATGTATGTACACTTATAAAGTCTGGTTTACATCTACTTAATGTTTAGTTTTTTCTTGAAACAAATTTTCCATCATTGTCACAGTTGTCCGAGGTTTTCTCTGTTGGTCACCCGTAATGTGTGTGAAACTCAAACGTATTCTCTGTGTTGGAACTGTTTTGTAAGCACCCACACGGACAGTGCAGCCTTCTGGGGAAGCTGGTAGGTTCACAGCACATGTAGTTGTGTAGATCATAGATGCGTTGCTTAACAGCTCATGAAAAGAAACACACACACGGGTGTTTATTTTGTACCTGTTGGGTTAGTCCCAACTAGGGAGGGATTCACAATTAAGCGTTTGTGCTTTTAGTGATTGCCCTCTTGTGGCAGAGTAGCGCATTGAGCAACATGTGCCCTTGGAAATTACCTGACTGAGCACATCTTCAGCAGTCCTTTTTCCCAATGAAAGGTGGGATGTCTCTGGAACATAAAATATTGTTAAGCTCTCCAAATAGTTTTTTGGCTTGTACTGCAGTTCAACATTATGTCCCAGAATTTCTAGAAGTACGCGGCACGTGGAATGAAACGTAAGACATCGTACCGAATAATCCAAAAAGCACATCAGAGAGCTTTTGCAGCTTAACCACAAAAATCTACACAGTAAATAAATTTCGCCTTTTTTGGTTTAAAGTACTGGAGAATACCTGAAAATATTTAAAGGCTTTTGGAAAAGTCCATTCCACTCAGGACCCCCACAGCTCAGTGCCAAGGGCACAACATTGGAGGCTTTGAACCCCCCTGCATTTGTCCCCACTATCCTTCCCCTCATCATGTTGTCTGCTTCCTCGCCTGTGTGCCCACTGTAGACCCCTCCAAGACCGCATCCCTTCCGGGCTACGGCACAAACGGAATTCAGAGGGTAAGGACAGCAGCTCGAGAGGCCTCACGTTCATCTGTGCCTTTTTTACTTTTTCCTACGTTTTCCCCCTGATGCTTCCTGTCATGAGTAATTAGAGCATTTGTAGGAGGTGGTGGTAGTAGTAGTAGGTGCTGCCTATGTAATGCAAAATGTTTCCTTGTTAGACAAGATAACAATGCTGTTGTTTCCACCATTTTTTTACTTTAAGAAATGAAAGCATTCTTAGTGATAAGGTATTTTCATTTCAGGTGCAGCTATATATTTTAAAAAGCGTGTAAAATGGTCTTGGATTCTGTTTTCGTGCTGCTGCACCACGTGTTGTTCAGCGTAGTGTGTGCTGGACATCGTGGTACAACCCGGAAACCCGATCTGAGAACTATGCAGCACAGCCGGGAAAAACTACACATCAGTAATGGGCCTAGCTATTTGCATGTAAATATTTAATGTGCTCAAATCTGAAATTCAATTCAAATTCAACATTACAATGTCTATTTAACACATAGGCTTTCGCGACCAAATATTATTCATAATCTAGGTTTTTGGGTCAGATCGCATTATTTATTAATGTGTCGTAACCCTCCACCACCCGACACGGCCAAACAGTAAAAAATGTGTCACGTTTTTCAAAGGACAAAATAATTCACTTCTTTAGCCCACCGGTGTGCTGTAGAGAGAATCAACGGCATAAAAAAAAAAGAAGTGAATTATTTTGTCCTTTGAAAAACGTGACACATTTTTTACTGTTTGGCCGTGTCGGGTGGTGGAGGGTTACGACACATTTATAGATAACGCGATGTGACCCAAAAACCTATATTATGAATTACAATGGTTTTTTTTACGACTTATTTCAAGGCTATCTAGATGCTGTTATTTGCGCATGCCCACTCTGTTAAACGTACCTGGCGTTGTAATTGGTTGTCACATGCATGTCCTGCTGCTATTGCATCTCGCTTGGGTTTGGCTCGTCAGGCCTAGCTGCACTCAACTACTTTGAGTTTGGACAGGTAAAGTATTGAAATAATGTGCAGTTCATTTAACAATAGAGAGTATAAAAATGTAATCCCTTAGAAATATAATACGGACACTTAAGTGTTTGCTATTTCAGTTATTCCCCCCTGATGAGGAGTCTCTCTTAAAGTTGCCCTTCTCCACTCATTCCTGTCCTGGGCCATCTCCACATCCACTGCAGAGTCATTTATGTCTATATGTATGCTGAACTTGTATTCGATTGGGTCTTTCGGTAAAGTCACGTAGATAGGTTCAAAGAAAATAACAAAAAACTACGACGATTCGATCGCGACACAAGCGTTTGTCATCAGGGAGATGATGAAGGCTTGTATTGCGATCGAAACCTCAGATTTTGGTTTTTTGTTATTTTATTTGAACCTATCTACGTGACTTTACCGAAAGTCCCAAAGAATATGAATTCCTGCAGTCACGAAAGCTTTAAGTCAAGATTTATGTTGAACTTCTTTCGCATTGTACTTAGTCAACTGTGCTAATCGGAGGTGCGGGAGAAGGACAACAACTAAACACATTAACGCAGCTCTAAAGAAATTCGTTTTCAATCTGGATTTAAAAGTGCATAGCTCCAGTGGTTTCCTTTATCGTGGCTCACCACTTCGAACCACCGCCTTCTTCTAGACTTTCCTCTTGGGCTTTGATCACCTTTCTTCCGATGGGGGTTTCCTCTCCTTAATTTATGTCCTCATCATCCAAGTTAACTTTTTAGCTGCCGTCAGACAGGTACCACTCTTGCCTTATTCCTTGTCTCTTGTCGGATACAATGCATTGTTTAGTAATGCAGTGTGCCATGCAATTTCTTAATTTAGATTTTTTTTGTGTTTTTGCAGCATCAGTCAATGGACTTCACTCAGTATGGATCCAACAACTTTAGTGACAGCTGGGGAACCAGAGGCAAGCATGTCTTTTTTTGTATATTTTTATGCAATTGTGGATAAAATGAAGTTTCATAAGCCAAACCTTTGTCAATGTTCCGTTATTTATTATTTAGTTGTGCGTTCCCCACATGTGAATGTGAAATGTAACATTACATATTTTGTTTTGTTTTTCCATGTTGTTCAACTACAGAATATAAGGTAAGATTATCGTTTAATGTCATTCAGTTAGACTGCATCATCGCTGCCTTTTCTCTTCTGACATGTTCCTTTCACAGCTTTTCCTAAATATGTTTCTTTTGGTCTGTTCACTTAAGGTGAACCCATGGAGCTATATGCAGTGGGCATGCTTTCTATAGCGTGCAAGTGTGTGCAAAAACACACCAGTGGCAATAATTATCATTGCCTAACAGCATTCCATGGGATAATGTTAAGTGGAAAAGACCTTTCAATGCTTTCCGTTTCTTTGGCATTCTATTTATGATTTTGCAAATGGACATATATTTGATTTGGAAACCTGGCTCAGGTTCACCAATCCTTAAGGCATTGCAGAATGCAATATTCATGCATGGCCTTTGCATTTCATGGGAGAATATTTTTTACCTTTTCTTTTCATGGCTGTATCTAGAATCCCAAGTTCACTTGGGTCCAAAATATTAATGTCATATCTAAACTGTCATGACAAATTGGATTATAATCTGATGTTGGCGTCACTTCTGTGTGATCACTCGGCAGAGGAAGATGGTGTACTCGAAGCTAGCTACAGCCATAATTATAATTATTGTTGTAATTTGTTGTATCTGCTCGACTGCTGCTCTGCTCCCCTGCTGCACGTGGCTTTGTCTTGTCTTCCTGTAGCCAGTGCATGCTGGTGTCATGCATGTGCCCAGAATGGAGAAAGGTGTTTCCATGCCTTCTCTGTTAGCGCACAAGGTAGGTGCAGCATCTGTATCGCGCACCCTCCCTCATTGGTGTAAAGTATTGTAATGTGCTCAGATGACCAAGCTATGCCATTTGTTGGGTGTGGGTTCATTGGTTATTAATAATACAGTTTTGCTAAATAAAAAAAAGTGATTGTATATTTTTTTGCACTCCAGTATTGCACAGAATATTGATTCATTTCAGTTTTTAAAAATCCTTGGTCACTAATCTCAGCATTTATGGTAACTTTACACCAATGAATGCATCTTCTTGCTATTCCTTTATTTACTGGCTTGGTGGTCGGTAGTTGCCTGTTAGTGGGAGTGTTACATGTATTACTTTAATCATTTAAGGAATTAGTGTTTGAAGTTCTTATTCAATTTGGTAAAAGTCAGTATAAATTTTCATGATGTGGAATAGATCAGGAAATGTACAAGTGTGCCTTTAATTATTGAGCATGTTTTGGTTAACTTTAAAAAACAATCATGGAAAAATATGGGTAATATGCAGTGTGAATGTGCTGAATTCATATCAGAGCTCCGGCTGGATGTTGATGGCTCACATAATAAACGTTCTACCATAGGTGTATCCATATGAGGCACTCCTCGTGACCAACAGAGTGCGCTCCAAGCTACCCAGAGATGTGGATCGTGCCCGCCTAGAGGTAATAATACATATTTTCTCTGGAAAGTGCAGTACTCAGGCAAACAGGAAAGATGGTGCAATTGTTCATGAAATGGTGTGTGTTTGTGTAATATATCTGTATAAATAAAGACCTTAATCTGTGTCTCAAAACCTCTCGGGTATTTCCTGACAGGGTAGAAAGCTGAAATTTGGTACATAGGTAGCTGTTAGGACACAAACTACAGGAAACAATTTGAAAATGGGAGATTTTTCATTTTAAGGCCCCAAATCTAAGTTTTAAGTGCCACAAAAACATTCAGAAACCGTTCAAAATATAAGATTGTGTGTTTTTTTTTTGATAGAGCTTTAAACAGCATAAAGTGAGAATCATTGTTGTATCTTTTATTGTTTATGAGATATTTTGGATTCAAGCGGTTTTTAAGGAAAAAATATGCATTTTATGATGTTCAAATCTGAATACTTTGAAAAAGGTAAAAGATAGAAGCTTCCCTCAGAGTATTAAGTTCAATCATGTTTGTTCTTTCTAATAAAAACAATTATGGAATATTTACATTGAGTGGTTCATAGGACGATCAGTACATTAATTTGACTAAAGGTTATGATTTATGAAAATAAGCATTTTTTTTCACAATATTTTAATAATCTCCCTTTAATCATAATCAGTCATAGTCAATCCAGTGCTGGAAGAAGGCTTCCTCAACCCACTACCATCTATCACATTCCTGTCACTATTTAGAAGAAGATGAATATTGTTCATTAATCTTTAAAAGTGTGACACAGACGTGTTTCCATTATTTTTTATGTTCTCTTTATAGCGCCACCTGTCCCCAGAAGAGTTTGACAACATCTTTGGGATGACCATCCAGGAGTTTGATCGCCTGGCCCTCTGGAAGAAGAATGACCTCAAGAAAAAGGCCCGTCTGTTCTAACACAGCAGAGTCTTCAAGGAAGCAGAATCGGTCACAAGTAATAGCTTTTGGCGCGGTGGTCATAAATTTATTTAATCACAAGGGATGACACTCCATGCTGCACATTGCTAAAAAAAAAAGCCAAACACTATCATGAGACTACATATAAAGGATAAAATAGTACAAGATAATTACAACACACACATAGGAAGACATTGGATTTAGACCAAGTAACTTGTTATTTGGTAAAATGATAATTGCATGAAAGACATAGAGATATTTAGGAATCGTATGTAGCAACTGCACACATTTACAGTCGAGGAAGCAATTTGTGTGATGTTAAATACTATAATATGCTTCCACGACTTACATGAAAATATGCAGTTACTGAAGGGATGTACTCCCATATACATGTTCAAGGAGTACACACAGTGGATCGGTGCGAGTGCATTCGGCTGTAAGGAATAACGTAGAAGGTGTTCAGTGTATGATTATGTTATACAAAGGTTAAGCATTCTGTAATATTGCCACAACGCTCACTCACATTGCCAAGGCATCTCACTGTGATAGTGCTGCAATTGAAGCTTTACCAGGACACTTAGCAGTTCATAGCGGCGACGGCGAATATTCACACGACACCTATAGGTGTAGTAATGATGTCCTGTTTGCCTTTAGCTGCTGTCTAGAGATGGTGTTGTCACCTGCTGTCCGTTAGACTAACGAGCTACAACAGCTAAATGCTTTGCTGCAGTTTTAAGCAGATCCAGCTTCTGATTTATTTTGTAAGCATAGAATATACTCAACATGTGATCTTTAGGGATGAAAACTTAGCATACACTTATACCGATGAGTGACTATATGATGTGTTATATGAAGTTGATGTTACATATATAAATTTAATCATGTTCTGGCTTTCATTAATGTAGCCTGACTTGCCACAATAAGCAGCCTGTAGTCAGCTTTGATGTATTTCACAAAGCTACACTTTAGTATTTGGACTAAGTGCTTAGTGTAGCATATCTTATTACATCATAAAAACACCCACAATTAACATACCCTTATTTAAACGTGTACACCTTAATATTATCATGTGAAGCAGAATTTAACCACGACATTTGACGAGTCTAAAGTTACACTGGAAACTGTACAGAATACAATACACAAGCAGTCTGCAAAGAGCCAACTAAATGTAAGATTGTCACTTCTAGCTTCAACTTTCTTTATTCATGCTCATCAAATAAAATGAATTTGTGTGGTTGAAAGTATTGGTAAAGATTATTTATAATTGTCTCCTTTTAATTTTAACTCTTGGACTTATTCTACTGTAGTTACGAGATTGTGATAAATACATTATTATTTCTCCATTTTACTTTGTTAATAATTATGTTAATGACAATCATATTTTGACACAGTTGGTCATGCGTTTAATATTGTACCAACTTTTTGGCAACAGAAATAATATATTTTAAAAATAAATGATATTGACTTTTCATTATGAAACAATCAATTTCTAAGGGAATGTCTATATAAAAATTCAATATTTTCCTTTTTAAAATCTAAATTTACCAAAAAACACATTTCCACTGAACAAATTTTAATGTATTTTGTGCTCACTTTTTCAGTAGCTTTTTAGAGTTTTGAAATGTACAAATTGTATTTTATTAAGCACAAAATGACGAGAACTTGCTCTGTTTCATAGTGAAAGTCAATAGTTACTTAACATCACCATACACAACCATACTTATTTTAAAACCCGATGTTTCATTTGGTATATCGTGGAGTGCGATGTGTCGTAGTGATAATGCTTTCTGTGCCTGCTTTGCTGTTATAGGACAAAAAAAATGCCTCACAAATCACCACCATTAACTTGTTTTCTCTTTTTTAAGACAGTTATTAGCCAATGTATTTTTAACAAAGATTAACCATTTGTGACATTTTATGAAATAAGAATGTATTACCCCTAATGAAGTTCTAATTTCTTAGGAATACTGTATGCATAATTATTATGATAATATATTATCTAGAAATTTAGTTTCTTGCTAAAAACAAGGGCATTTAAATGTTTGCCAAAGTAGTTATGATGCATATCACATATTCTTTGCTAATATGGCAGAGTAATAGTGCACATTTAAAATGCATTAATAAAAACAAAAAAATGCTTACACAGTACAGTAATAGTAAAACGACAGGATGGTAAGATAGGAAGCGTATAGTATTTCTGCTTAAACGTAAAGACCGTGTGCCGTTCATTTTACTCCCAGTGTTTAGCTTGCATTGCCTGTGCGCGGAATTAGCACTAACGTTGAGCCACAGGGACCGTACGTGCAGGTACCTGTAGCAGCGCCGAGGTGCTGCAGTGCTTTACGTGTATTGGTGTACAGAAGTGGCCATTTGCTACAGCAGATTTTGCTTTCAGTAGCCCTCGCTTAGAATGGCTTTTGCTCCAACGTTTGCCATGCAGCAAGACTTGTGTGTCATTGTGGAAACTGGCTTGTCCCCTGTCAGCCTATCAAAGGTGCATTCTTCTTCCCTATGCACGAGCTTAATTCTCATCCTAAGAACTGTGTAGTCACCTTTTTGTTTCGAAGTGTGTGCCATTGCTTGTAGAATAAACAATAAAGATTCTGGACTGCTCATCTTGTTCATCTCAAACAGTTTGATTGTAAAGTATATTCAAAACCCCTTTGGCTGTAATATCAGCTTGCTTACTTGCTTTGGATGTGCCTATTGTTTCATTCTTTTTTCTGTTGAGTGGCTAGCCATGTAGTTGTGGAAGTTTTTCTCATTGTTTCAAATTCCTGAAGCTCAACACAGCATGAAACAGTTTGTTGTGGAAAATTTTCGGAATTTGGTCAAATGTAAATGTTAATAGAGTCTCAATAATCATTGATATTTTCATTAATTTTAGAGTTTATCCCGCACTAATTGTCGTAAGTGTCCAATGCGTGTTCTGTGATAATGCTCTATCTCTTGCATCAAATTTAATTGTGCAACCACCTCCCGGCTCACCTGTAATTTCCAGCATTTCTTTTAAATACTTCAAAAGGAGAATGTTTTTTTGCATCGCTTCAAATTGCACGTCTGTGGGCACTGCAGACCTGTTTTCAGAGCTTTTGGTGTATGTTTTCATGTTTGGAGCGGCTGGCTTAGAAACACAATGCCTTGTTGCAAATATTGGATAACATTAAAACAGTATTTTTCTTTTTTTTCCAATACAGTAGTACCTGTACCAGAAATGTTTGGAAAAAAATATCAATGGGTTATTTAAGAACAAAAAATAAAGTACAGCTACTGTTTGAGTCGGGCTATGATTATGAACATGATACATTGAATGACATGAAAACATTGTGTTATATTGGCAGACCTCGTGGAAATTCAAAGTGTGAATGGTTTCATTCATTACTATTAACTGGTTACTCCAAGTCATCTGCCAAATAGTTATGATGTAGCCACGAGCAATTGCATTCATCATCGGCCATGATTTATCCACTGCTGGATGAAGGCCTTCCAAAGCCAGCATCGCCATCTGGCACAGTTTCGCAATGCAACAATCCATCTGCACGCAAGCTGATTCATCGTTCCAACTCTGGCCGGGCGTGTTCCTTTTGGCTGCCAGTCCATTGTGAGTCTTCACCACGAACTTTATTCCCTTCAAACAATTACATTAGTGGCCTTGTGCTATTCAGTTCATTTTTCCTCAAAGTCTGCAACGACATTGTGTGCTTTTTGTTAAAAATGCAGAAACGATTTACAGAATTCCCTGGTAAATTATTTTGGAACTGGAGTAGTTGAAAGCTTGGGACAATAAATCGTTTTTTATAATTAACATGTAACTACAGTACTATACATCTTTCACTTAATAACCACAAGTAGCATGCTTAAATATTCAATTTGCATGCTAATATAAAGTTAAGAAATAGTGTATAGATGCACCTCTACTGAACAACCATTCTCTGTCCACTGTTGGGAGTTTGTTTACTCAATGTTGATGTCACTTCCTCCACTGCAACCCTAATCCATCTGTGACGCCCGCCCACATGTGCATTTTGTAGAATTCCAGAAATAACCACTTCCTTTCGCCGACGAAAAACGGTTATGGAACTTAACCAAAAGGCGGAGTCGTGAGTGCAGTGCTGTGCTATATGGCACGTGTTGGTGTTGAAATCTAACGGTTGAAACGATCTGATGTAACATTTGACGAATATGCAGCAATATTTACTACATACTGTACAGCACAATGCGCTGTATGATAATGGCACAGATAATTATCTGTGGATAAGGGAATTGAGGTTCTGAGATGTCAGTCGTAATTCAAAATTCATGGCTTTCCATAGGGTGGAATGGCAAAGAATGTACTATAAATTACAGTAATTAATTATTCACGGTAACAAAGTGCTGCACTTCGTTATATAGATGCATAACATGGACATCCTCGGACTGTACATGTCTCTCTGCCTTAACCAACCCGCCCTGACCGGCGTGGTAAAATTTGGTTAAAATAACCCCTATTTTCCACATCCACCCAGTGTATTTAATTTTAAAATGGGGGTTGTACATCGACTTAATAACTAAAGGAGTGGACATTTCGACAAGTCTCTTGTGTTGCAAGGAAGACATGGTATGCCAAGTATAGCAAAAACAATACAACTGGAAACAAAAATACGGTAGGTAATACAACATACAATGCATGCTCGTGCAGAAAACAGTGGCAACAAAGGATGTGTAGTATTCGTGTCGTCGTAAAATGTGTACAAGTATGCAGGTGAACCTCATCTATTCCCATCAATACCAGGGTAGGCACCTTTTCGGAATGCTGAAGTAGTAAGATATTGCCCTGGAGTCAATAGCTGAAGGTCTGTTGTGTAACAACACGCATTTTCATGCACGTAGCCATATAGACGTCAATTATGCGACTAATTAAAAGGCTCAAACCTTTCAATATAGCTTTAATTAAACGAGCTTCACCAAACCAAACTGGGCAGTGGAGTATGAACAAAATAACCTCCACGACCCGCAACAAAGGGCATCCATCCAGCAGTGGATTGGCAAAGGCCTGTGCAATTATATAGTGCATTATATGCTACCACAAAGGACATTAACTCATTGGTGTATATCAACAAAGAGGATGCACATGTTGGTGACATTTACATTTTCAAAGCATTTTACATTTTCTTTAACTTTCACAAATACCATGCATAACTACACGGTGAAAACTGAATGTGAATGCTGCTGTTGAATATGTAAATACAGTCACTCTAGTGACTGTGAGAAAGGGGTCTTCCTGTAGCAGTACCCGTATAGTACACTCATCCAGCAGTGGATTGACAGAAGAGCTGCTCATGGGCACGTATGAGTGCAGGTAAAAGGGGTTTAAGGGGTGGCGGATGCCTGTAACCCAGCACTTGGGAGGTAATTGAGGCTTTGTGGATCACGCAGATTTGTGAAACTCAATATGGTATTCCCCTGGACTGCGAGATCCCCATGAGGTGGTAGGGAACGAGCCAGCTTGTTCACAAACCCCGGGTGTGCATGCAGACCCCGTGAGTAGTATCCCCTCGGATTGGGAACAGTCCTCTCATATCCGTGATGGGCTTTTCTCCGGGTGCGCCAATGTCCTTCCACAACGCACAACACTCACTCACAAAGGGAACCGGCCAAACATCCGAACGCAGGATCCCGTGGAAGCTGTTCACCTGCGTGTAAATGAACATTTTCTGGAGCGTGCTATTGAATAAAGGCCTCCGCTTATTATTGAAATACATTAGCCCAACGAATGGATTTCGTGGCATTGTTAATGCGTACGCTCAATTTGCGCGGAATGCGCCCAAATTGGTCAGATCTCGGAAGCCAAGGACGACAACTCGAGGGTTGCTTTGTTGGCCGGCCACGTCGTGCCGTGCATCGACCCGGCTTGGTCGGCTGCTGCTGCTGTGGTCAGCAGAGGGAAAGTGTTGCAAAAATCCATTGTTGTACTGCACTGCTGAGCTCCCGCATTTTGCAGCGCGGTGAATCACGATCGGCCCTTGATGATGAATGTTCAGATACGGATTTCTAATCGATTTCTCCAGGATAAATAAAGATTCAGATACAGCTCCTGTTGTCAATCCGCTGATAGAGAGTGCCCCCCCTCCCCCCAAACACACACAACATATACATCACTACAGTTAGTACGATATCAAGCTGCCGATGAGACTGGCAATGAGGCGTGAATAGCCCCGAAGCTGGGCGTGGCCCCGACCTTGGCTCTCCTCCATCCAACCCCGCTCGCTCGCAACACCGGGGAGGGAGGGGAGGGATGGGGAGGGGTTGGGAGGGAGGGAGGAGATGGGGGTGGGAGAGGAGGGATGATAGGGAAGGGAGGGAGGGATGGAAGGGAATGGGAGATATGAGATTGAAGGGATTGGATGGATGGGAGGGAGGGATGGGATGGGAGGGGGTTGGAGGGATGGGATTGAAGGGATGGGATGAGAGGGATGGGATTGAAGGGATGGGAGGGATGGGATAAGAGGGAAGGGAGGGAGGGATGGAGGGGGCTGGGAGGGGATGGGAGAGATGAGATGGAGGGATTGGATGAGAGGGATGGGATGGGAGGGGGTTGGAGGGATGGGATTGAAGGATGGGATGAGAGGGATGGGATTGAAGGGATGGGAGGGATGGGATAAGAGGGGAAGGGAGGGAGGGATGGAGGGGCTGGGAGGGATGGGAGAGATGAGATTGGAGGGATTGGATGAGAGGGATGGGATGGGAGGGGGTGGAGGGATGGGATTGAAGGGATGGGATGAGAGGGATGGGATGAGAGGGATGGGATGGAGGGGTTGGAGGGATGGGGATTGAAGGGATTGAAGGGATGGGATGAGAGGGATGGGATTGAAGGGATTGAAGGGATGAGAGGGAAGGGATGAGAGGGATGGGATTGAAGGGATGGGAGGGATGGGATGGGATGAGAGGGATGAGATTGAAGGGATGGGAGGGATGGGATGAGAGGGAAGGGAGGGAGGGATGGGAGGGGTGGGATGGGAGGGGGTTGGAGGGGATGGGAGGGGATGGGAGGGATGGGAGGGGATGGGATGGCGATGCGATGGGACGGGATGAGATGGGAGAGAGGGAGAGGCTGGGAGGGGGATGGGAGGGGGAGGGAGGGGAGGAGAGGGAAGTGGGGGGGAGGAAGGGGATGGGATGGGAGGGAATGGATGGGAGGGGAGGGAATGAAGGGGTAGGGGAGGGAGAGGATGGGAGGGAGCAAAAAGAGGCCGGACCCCCACCCCTCTTTCCACAATCCACACCCCTTCCATGGCCTGCCCGGGTCGGGGTTGAGTGAGCAGCAGAGATTTGTATCCTCCTCCTCCTCCGCCCGCGTTCCTCCTCCTCCTCCCTTGCGAAGGGGGACACAGCCCTCTCCGCTGTGTTGCTCTCACGCGGAAGGCGAGCCATGGACAAGGTGAAAGGTACGTGGCGAATTGTTCAGCGGAGGTTGGAGACGAATGAAACATTGTAGCCGCCGGATGCTGTGTTCGTTACATTGGGTCCGTTCTCGTCGTCGAGTCCCGCCCACGTGAGTGAGCGGAACGGATGAATGAATGAGAGGTACAACACAACACGCGCGCATTGTGTGCGAGACACGTGCTATTTAAACGTGTCGTGTGTGTGTGTCGATATATATAAACCCCATGTAATACGTTGTAGCGAGTGCTATGGCATTGTTTACAGGGCTCGGAAAAAGCACGTTTTGCACCGAGTTCCTGTTCATCTTGAGACACAGAATGGGTAGACTTGATATGACCACCCTATTGTTATATGCCCTTTGTTGCGTGCGACACTGAATAGCGGTCGGACTACCTGGACGTGCATCTCATGCACATTATAACAGCGCTTTGTCAGTCCACCGCTGGAAGGAAGAGACCTCCCCACGCCGCACAGGCATGCAAGAGTTGCTTGCTCCACCCCGCACATCTGACCACTGCAAGATCAGAATCGGAATATTTATTTCGTATGGAGGTATCAATGAATTATAAAGCTCATTTTTTTTACCCCACTGATGTCCAATAGATGAAATTCGGGGAGCGCATAGATGTTGCCGTACAATACGGTAATGGATTTGGCCGCACTGACCTCAGCTGCCCACAACTTGGCCGCCTTCCTGTGCATGGCGGTGACCCTTGAAATCGCTGTCCAGCCTCGGGTGCATAGCCCGGTGACTTTGTCCTCGAGGCAATGCAGTGTATGCATCGACAAGCAGTAATGTACCGCATAATAAAACAGAGCAACCTCGTTTATATTGTATTATTACATTATGACACTGGACAATATTGTAAATATTCGTAGCGGAATGCATGAGCAACCATCCTGACATGTTGTCAATCCACTGCTGGATTAGGGCCCCAGGGCCCCTCGACCTATGCACGTGTGGATCGTGGGGGTTTCTCGACCCTACTTCACCACACTGGTCAGTGCGGGTTGATGAAGATCCCTTTGTAAGACACGGTACAAGAATTCAATGCTCATAATCAGCATCGTTAGACAACACATTGCATTGCAATATGATGCAATGTATGTCATTAATCCTTAAATCGCAGCGATTGCGATGCATTAGGCTTCTGTGTGCTGGATTACACAGATCGCAGATTGGTCACTGTCTGTTTAAATCCCCCAAAAATCTAAGCCCTTGGCAAACAGTACTGTCGTGTAGCAATATTTAAACGGCGTTTAATTCTTTCACTTAATTGCAATAACGAGCCGGGCAATTAGAAGAAAATGTAAACAAATCGGTGGTTATCTAGGTGGTTTCCCGGGCATCATCCACAACACTGGTAATGGAGGCCCTCCGACATCCCGTGGCCACCCTCTTTGTGGTGTGGCCACTATTTTAGGTTTTTGTCTCTGTGTGTTTCTCATTTTTCAAAACGGTTATTGTGAACGTGCACCAAGAGCCATAATTCAATCCAGTGACGTCTGGCTGCAGATATGCCTCTGATTGATCATGGGGACTAATGCCGAGTGGCTCAGCTGCTGATCCACCAATTGAAATATAATAATCAGCAGCAGCAGCAGCCATGGCCAGTTCACTGCTGGATGAAGGCCTTCTCACGCCTCCACCACCTCTCACGATCCTGCGCTGTACCCATGGGCAAAGAGATGCAATGTCTGATTAAATCACTTGGCCAAAGATTCAACTGCTTTGACCGGGTTTTCAACCGGGCATCTCAGAATTGCTCGTCCAGTAGATTATCCTGTAAACACCGCAGCATGGCTCTTTGTTTATTATGTACGATACGAACTATCGATAACCGCTTTGATATACCAGGCCAAAAAAAACCCGTTTTATCAGATGGTATTCAATGAAAACAAACATTGTGTGATATGCGGGCGCTATTGGAGGCATACGGCGGTAGCAGGGTTGTGTGCGGTGGCTATATGTGCACTGCTTCTGCCCTAGTGACCCCGATTCAGTTCCAGTCTCTGTGATCCCTGGAGGGCTTTCCCCCGGGTTTGCTCAGCCAGCTGTGTGTTGCCGTTGCTATTGAAGAAGAACTAAATGTGTCACGATTGCTACTCGCACCCCTCGCACTCGAGTGTTGTAGCCATGGGCTGTGAGATCGATAGGTGGTAGATTCTCGAATCCACGTGGAGCTTTTGAGGTTTTACCTCCCTGTGTACTTGGATATTGTTCGGATACACCGTGTGCATGTCAAACACACCATTCAGGGAAATGATAAAACATTCTCACGCAGAACCCTCGAAAGGTAGAGTGTTGAGACTCAGAATGGTTTTCCTGAGTAAATAAAAAGCATTTATTATCACTGGTAGTCTTTTTTTTCAAAGAAATACAATGCATTCAGACAGTGCAGATTGAGTACTGCCATTGTATTATTATACAAAAATGTTTACAATAGGTACACAGTGTGTAAATGTTGATACACAGAATGGGTAGACTTGATATGATTATTTATTAGATCTTTGTACTATGTTTTTTGTTTTTGTATGTCACCGTGACAACCAGTATCTTCTGCAACCGGTAATTGTCTTTTTAAAAACACAAATATCCTGTGCCACACTTGATGGATTCTGATCTCTGATGCATAATCAGTATAATCACGATGGTATACTTGCACACACCCTGTGAGTGCTGATGAATCGGAAAGCATTGTCTGCGTTCCTGAAACACTCAAAATTAATGATCCAGTGCCACAGTGCTGGCTTTCTTTTTTACATCGTGATATCACTAAGGGTCGAAGGTGGAGGGGGATGGCCAATCATCAGCAATGAGGCGTTTTAAAGTTAAACGTGAAACAAAAACTGCTAAGATCACCCTTACCATCATATGATATTTTTTTTTACCAAAACCGTAAAATAAGCCTCCTGAAAAATAAGCTGGAAACTTAATAGTGGTTTCATATGTCATGTTGCCCCAGAAGCCTGATGTCCATTAAGCCTGAATTATGCTTCAGTCTTAAAGCTGTTGCGAAATTGCTTACGCTTGTCGGAGTGCATTTTCCGACCGGTGTTGTTGGTAGTGGAAAGCCATCCTGTCAAAAGGTCAAATGCCATTAGGTGAGGGTTAGAAACAATGGCAGAGCCGTCACGTCCTGGCTGAAAATGAGACTCGACCTGCAGAGGATGTACGCGATTCTTCCACATCCTGCCATTCCACTGCTGCTTCCTGAGATCACCAAGCCCAGTGTGACTGCGTCCCAGCTGACTGACAAAACGGTGCCCATAAAAAGCACCGAAGCAAGGTGCCTTAATCATCAGAAATGCATCATGCACACAGTCATGCGTGCATAGGCACACAAATAATGTATCACATTTCAGCCTTTGCTCTTGTTTCACACATTTTTCAATCGACTGTAATTTCGTGCGTTTCTGAATATTTTTTTTATTGGGTGATCACAAATGTGTACAGTCTTGGCCAGTGGACTTGGTAAACTAACGGTTAGCAAAGGGGCCGTGCATTTCTTCCTCGGTGACACATTTATTTCGTGGTTGCCACTAAATAGTGAGACATTTTGGGGCATCGCCTGTGCACATCCCTTTGATCATTAGCTGACTTCTCGTGGGATTCACAAGTGCTTCCTCTTTTGGCCGCTAACATGTTATTTTTCCCAACAGATGCAGCCACTGTAAACAAAGGATGCATACATAGTGTACTATATTACAGGCCGCTCCAGTGTAATATCCATACACATTCAGAGCACTGTGACGGGTCGATATATACAAGATGGTTAGTGCAATATATAATCGCCCCGAATTTTTCTTCTCCTTAAGTTTAACAAATACCCACTGTTCTCATTGCTTGCACTCTCCTCCATACAAACAGCTGATGTGTGCACTGTATTTAAGTACACTCATTCGTTGACCGCATTTGCACAGCAGAACAAGATAGACCCTCCAGACGTGAATCCCTCAGCTCTATCTGTGTTATCGTAGCACATTTTGGGGCTTTATTGCCAAGCAACAGTGAACATCCACATGCCAAAGCAATGTTTCTAATTATGCCAGACTCGAGGCCCTACGCGATATCTGTTACTGGAACTGTTAATGAAAATCAGATGCAACAATGTAGATAAGCCTAATTCCTGGTTAATGCTATGTTGGTGATGATGTGTGAATGCTGACTACATATCAGCCTTAAGATTTGTTCTGTCGTTGTGAAGATGTGTTGCCCGAGCGTTGCATCATCATCAGCATGAATGCGAGGACAGGAAACGTCTGCAAGAGGAGATGTGTGACTGACAGCCATGTGCCTCTCATGGCCACGTCATGGGAGCCAAATAACCCTTCACCCCACGTTGGCGACGCGATAAATGATAAGCTGCGGATCGACAGACACTGATGCTCTTTTTGGAACGTACTTTTTTCTTCGCAGTATCTCACCTAAGGCATCTGCAACCTTCACTTGACACACGCTGATTTCCATTCATGTTCACTTTATAATGTGACACTTTCACTGTTTGTAATTAATTTACGATCGTATTCGTTTTGTGCACACTGCGTGGTTTTATTGTAGGGCGCTGCAATGGGATGAAACACACTGAGAGACACGTGGAGCACTGATACTGTCTGTAAACAGGGTTTGCTGATGGCAGATGCAGACAGCTGAACAGGAGTGTTCTGGGAAGTGTGCTGCTAATTCGCATGGGACGCATTCGCGAGTAAAACGCTTGCAGCTCTGCTGATTTGGCTATTTTGTGTATGAGCATGAGACACCGCTTCGCCAAAACGTGCATACTTTTACAGTATTGGGCTTACTAGCTCTTCGATGTGCCTTTGGGTGTTATTCAGCACGATGTTCGATGCTTCATTAGACATACTTCTTCAAATCACTTCCTGAAATAAGCTCTCACCAAGTGGAGCGAAACGTCGTACATCATGCAGAACGACACACGGTACAACCCAAAAGCACATCGGAGAGCGATACAGCACAACTGTGAAAACATTGCCAGTACTG